GGTATTCTGTGAGAGCGTGGTCCTTCCCCGGTCGAGCCGACCCATTCGTGCTACAACTATACTACTAATATAGCTGCAACATGGCTCTACCGCGTATAAACCACGTATGCTGTTCTATTATAACGTCCATAGTGACGATCGCTGCTATGTATGTTAAGCGCGCCGCTATGCCATATGCCACGCCAAATGTTTATCACAAGACCTTACGGTACTGGTCGCTTTATCGCGATCATTACCGGGGTCTTGGTGGCTCGTCATTAAAGGTCGTTGATGGACCATCGCAAATCCCCGGGGTTTCTGAACCTACGAGCCAGGCTCGCAGCACATGAAATTTGGTTTCATCAAACGCTAAAGAATATGGCTCGCCAGTATCACGAGACGACGAGGAGATGAGTCACAAACGTCGAGCCGCGAATAAAAATCTTTACCGCAAGCTTATGGCTCGCTTCTCTCTACAAAGGCTTTGAGAAAGGCCTCAGTGGAGTACGATCAGCGGGGCGTGGCCGCCAGGCAGTATGTTTGTTATACACTCATACGCTCCGCTCCGCTGCACGCTAAACTTTAAACATTTTAAACCAAAAAATATAATTTCGAAATCGCCATCGGAGCAACATGGTGTAAGGTGTGCACTCCACTCACAACCTTTTTCTTACATGATAGTATGCAATCTTCTCATTACGGCAAAAGCCAAAGTGCCGTTGCATCTAGATTTAGCCGGCTGCAACTAGGTGGTTACGGTTATTATACGGTTGGTTAAAATTAGATGTAGGATTTGTCAGAGTTAAAGAAGTTACAGCCGATATACGTCCTACTGCTGGGCACAGGCCTCCTCTCATTTCTGAGAGGGTTTTAGGGCAAGGAAGTGTCCGTCGCGCTGCCACAATGCGTGTTGGCGAACTTCACATTGTTTGAATTTTTTTTCTTATTTCTCAGACATGCCGGTTTCCTGACGATGTTTTCCTTCACCGCCGAGCACGTGGTAAACTGGTAAATCAGCACTTAAAATTATAATTAACAATTTCATTGGTGCCGGCGGGGATCGCACCCGGTTCGCTCGTACTGTAATTAAGTAAAATAGCGATCCTCCACAGCTTCGCACAGGTGATTTCTAGATCTCCACAACAGGCTCTCGGCTACCAACCGGGTCCAACTATGGCTAAGAACTATCCAGGTGACCCTATCTATAAGTACCCCATAAAAATTTCATCAAAATCGGTCAAGCCGTTTAGGAGAAGAATTACGGACAATTTTTGTAAAAAAATTATTAAACCGGAATTTTATGAATAAAAAAAGATATAAATGGCCGCACAATAACCTACTAATACTGATATTACTTGATATGTGCTTTACTTTTTACCTTTGACAAAATTTGTGGATAATAATACCCCTGGGAATGAGGTGATCGCTACCAAGCTATTTCTAATCTGTTTTGTGTTGTTAATTGTGTAACATAATATGAATAAGCTGTATTTTTTTTTCAAAAATGTCCCGCTAGGGTCTTACTTGGTTTTTTTTCCGAACCAGCGGTAAATTAAACAAAAGGGCGAGTTTCAATAAATATTATTTATAATCTATATTGAATAGAAAAGTTTCAGTTTCTGTTTAACACAAGTCATAGTTATTAAACCACTATTACTTGACAGATGCTTTCGTATTTTCACTAAGTTAACAGAAGTCGTAGCCATTTAAGTATTTTTCAAACTTTACCTACTTTTACTCGAAAGCCACCCGACCACACCTTGTTTTAAACGTGACGAAATCGAATACGCCTAAGCTTAACCAACAATCGGCTGCATCTAGTTGAAGCTGGCCAAACTGAGTTGTAACTGAACTTCCGTTTTTAACCGTGACATATCAGTACGTAACATACGTAGAAATAAGCGTTTTTGTCTTTAATTCGAGAATATGCCAAAAAAAGGTTTAAATTAGGCTACATCTATGTAGATCAAATGGTTATAGATAAAACACAATAAGAACTCGTAACGGTGCTTTCAAATGAATTCTTACAAAACTTAAAACAATCCCGGGTGACCCATGGAATATTTTCCAACGGTCAACCTTGAGCTGAGATCAGCACGTCTTGAAGCGCGTGCTATGTCCTTTGATACAAATGCGGATGCGTTCAATTGGCGCTCGGGCCGTTATCGAACCGCGCTAAACACCGCGCAAGGCTGCACAGGCGTGTTACTGCAGGCCTATGTCACAACTTATGTGTCTCGTTGTAATCGTTAATGATATGACGCATAAGTTAATAACATTCATTGTTTTCAATATACCCAACACATAAGGGTTGCTGGTAAATAAATGAAAAAAAAAAACAAATTATAATGACATTCTCACAAATTATTGAATAACACTCTTTCCAATTCAAATTTCTAATGATTTTAAAATTACTACAAAACCTAAAAACCAAGTTTAGTTAAAGTTTTACAGTCGCCGTGTAGTAGCCCCGTGGAACAATCCATTACCCCATATCCTCCCCTTGGTGTCGTAATATCAGCATCTTCCTCATATCTCAAAATAATAAAAAGCTGCCGTTGCCAACCTGACTGACAAGCAACTATTATAAATGTGCCCCCCCCCCCCTCCCTATGAGGAATTTTATTTGGGGCCTATGTTCACCAGTGGACTGTTGATATAAATGGACTAATGAATCAATGAATGAGGTTTAGATCTAGAATTACATTCTGGACCCTATATAATAATTATTGCAATATGACGAATTTATAAAATGTGCCATATTTGTCAAATTGCACACTAAGTACTTTTCAATGAAGCTAACAAATTGTAAATGTAACACTGCTAAATATTTGTAAACTAAACGTTTAAAATTGTAAAAAATGCCTGTAATTGTATTTTACACATACATGTGTTTTTTACAATAATTTATTATTGCTTACTCACCTGTCAGAATTGTATTAAAATTCTACAATAATGTAGGCTTATATCTGCAATTCTATGTTTAATAAATCAATTTTTCTTGCCCGTCAAGTTAAATACCTTTATTGTACTGAAATGTGTGAAACCACAGCAACTACTCTATAATTTTGTAAGTTTTCCACAGTGAAATTTTGTAATTACCAAAAAAATATTTGTGAGTTTAATCATTATCCACCATTAAACTATATATTTTTACAATATAAACAAAAACTAAAACAAATGTTAAATTATCATACAGTCCTACACCCCAATGGTATACTGCTAAGAATGCCTATTTCGGCTCAATAGCAAATTTTTATATGGCTTCATTTTGTAATTTTTAATTCTATTACTTTTCAGACATGCAGGTTTCCTCATAATGTTTCCCTTCACCACCGAGCATGTGGTAAATCAGCACTTAAACTTGCAATTAACAATTTCATTGGTGCCGGCAGGGATCGAACCCGGGTTGTTCACATACTGTGAAATTTCATGCTAACCACCTAAGCTACCATGGCTCTCTTTCGAAGACATGTGAAGTCCACCAGCACGCATTACGGCAGCTCGGCGGACATTTTCTTGCCCTAGAACCGTCTCCGAAATGAGAGGAGGCCTGTGCCCAGCATTGGGACCTATATAGGCTCTAACTTGAAACTTTTATTTTATTATACAGGAATAAGTAAAAATGTAAAATTATAATCATAATTACATATTGTAAATTGTAACTTTTATTAGATAGAGTCTGGTCTAATTAAACAAGGTTTTCTTATGCTGTCTTTTAGAGGAATATTGGGTGGGTAAGATATTGAGGATAGTCTTTTAAAAAGTCAATTTAGTTATCTTCTTTGTCACAGATATAAAATACAGATTCATGTAAAAATAAGCTCTAAGAATTGCAAATAAATTTTTCATTTTCTAATGTGAAACATGGACTTCTCTCACACTTCGTAAATAATGCATGCTTCAAAACCGAAGTCAAAACTTGTTATTCAATAAAGTCTTGTTGAAAGCTCTTATAAACATAAAAATCTACACCAATTCACAAAATCAAAGACCTACTCAACGAAGAATTAGCAAAATACTGACATTTTTTAAATGCTTACATTCTTAAAATAGTCTATGTTCAGAAGTAAAGGAAAACTGATAATAATGGTAAACCTTTGTGTGGCTAATTGATTAGTGTGCAACTAAGTTTTTCAAGAATTTACTTTGAAAGTTATTAGTGAATAAGTAAATAATTAATCCATCCATATAAATCTTTTTCAAATGGTTAAATATGTATTGCGATGCTGGTCCTATTACTGCAGTTTATGGTTCCGTAATGTCAACAAAGAAAAATTTTGAGAAATGTATTGTCTTTAACATAAAGTAAAAAATCTTAAATATACCTTTATATCAATAAAGAATAAGGGCCTAAAATGTAAAGGATTCATACTGAAATTACAATTTCACCTGCCTAACATGACTACAATAGCAAGTACTAGGATCTAAGAAGTGTCCAATATTCATCCGTGGAATACTAAAGTAAGAAGTTATGTAATTAAATTATATTATAAATTTATGGATATGGTAGCCCTTTCTATCTTCACTATTCTTGATATTATGCTTATAAATATTCAAAATATTATTTAGGAGAAATAAATGGGGCAATAGACAAAAAACAATTATAATATTTACATCAGCTGGTACATTCATTAATCAATAGTAAGTAGTGTCGTATGTTTACGTGTATTGTTAGTTATTAAAAAAAACCGCATACTCATAGCTATTGACAAGTTTGAATTCATTTTTTTAAATGAAAAGTAGTTCCCCTATATCTTTAAAGGCATGAACTTGCTAAAATAACTTCTTAATTAAGAATAAAATTATAAAACTCAACGTTTCGACCCAAATTTACAATAAATATTGCATAAAATATAGGATACCTAACACAGGGCGTGGCCTTTTAGGTTCAATTCTCCCGTAAAACAAGAACTTTGTACTACCGGCTTATAAAGTGAAATAAATGTAATATATCTCCTGTTCAAAATTAACCAAGACAGTGATATTCCCATGCAATCGACTAAAATCTAAATACTTACGTCCAGCGATTCCTTAGACGCCATTTTCGCACACAAACAAATTGACGTTTCAATTCAGTTTGACAATTTGACATTAAATTCAAAATCAATATGAATAATTTTCGGATACACGTAACACGTCCAATATACTAACTATGTATCTTGAAATAGTCTGTTGCCTATTATATACGCTCACGACATGGTGCTGTTGAGTCCCTCAATCAGGATACTTAGAAAGGTATTAGCCATATGCGAGCATTATGCGCGGGATCATGGCCTGAATTACAATGTTAATAAAACGCAGATGATGGTGTTCCGCTTGGACGGAGGCCCGGAGAGGATTCCGTTAGCATTTCTGGACGGTGAAGCTGTTGCAAGAGTGAGTCTATTCAGGTACATGAGGCATATCCTGACTAAGGATTTGCGTGATAACCTCGATATAGAACGTGAAAGGAGGGCTGGCTGTTCGGTGTAATATGCTCGCACGCCGGTTTGCGCGATGTAGTCTCAAAGCAAGGCTGACCCTGTTTAGAGCATATTGTCAATGCTTCTATACTTGTCAGCTTTGGTTGGACAGTACCAAAAATGCACGTAGCAGCATTAGAGTTCAGTATAATAATGCATTCCGCATTCTTATGAAACTGCCTAAATACTGCAGTGCGAGCATGTTTGCCAACGCCGGGGTACCCGATTACTTCGCCGTTATTAGATCTCAGGTTACAGCTTTTTGGTCCCGCATCCGTGATTCCGAGAACGAGATCCTCAAGGTGTGCTACGAGTGCCCAGAGAATCCTATACTAAAATATTGGCGTGCCGTGCATAGATAGTCTCTTTTGGGGGCAATTTTAGTATTAACCTATGATTACAGTTAAATTGCCTTTTATTTATTTATTTATTGTATCCTTATAATTATAATTTCATTTTGTTTTTAACATTTATTGATATTTGAAATGGGTGTAAAAAGCCTGAAATAAATGATTTTTATTATATTATATTATATATTCTATGGTTTATTTATATTTTGGACATCGAGGAGTTTTGGTGCGAACTTTACCGGCGGTGGATTGCTGCTCCTAAATTATTATTTAAATAGTGGTTTTAGTGAATTTTAATATGTAAAAGTGTTGCGAGTTTGTGTATTAAATGTCTGCGCATGTGAACATGGAAGTGGAAACAACACAGTGCTTAAACTTATTATTTCATAATAGAATGCAGAAAGTTATTATCAATGGTAAAAGTTCTTCCAGGTCACCTGTACTAATGGGTGGGACACCCATTAGTACATGTGACCTGTATAAAACTGTATAAAAAGGGTTAATATAATATAAATGAATACATGGTTGATAATACCCCTGGGTGAGAGGTGGTCGCTTCCAAGCTGTTTCTAAAATCAAATTTGTAATCATTTATATTGTTAAACTAGCTGTTCCCCGCGACTTTGGATGCATGTCATTTTTTACGATAAGATTTAATGGGTTTTAATTTTTTGCGTGGAACCCTAATTCTTATTTTTATTTTAATAAAAGTAGCCTCAGCTATCTGCCATTGAAAGTCCCGTCAAAATCGGTCCAGTCATTTCAGAGATTAGTCGGAACAAACAGACAGACCGACAGACAAAAATTTTAAAAATTGCGATTTTGTTATATGTACCGTATATACTTTCATATGCATTTAGTAAAAAAAAACCGGATATTTTGACATTACAAATGGAGACTTCAATGTTATTTATTTGTATAGAGTATAGATTTATTTAAAGAAAGTCCTGTTGGGTTTCTTGCTGGTTCTTCTCATGACAGAAGGTTTTTTTTCGAAATAGTGTTAAAGTAAAAAATAACTTTTAATAAGAATTAAACATGTGATCTATATATAAAAAATATTCTATTCTATTCTCATCTAATCTATTCTATTCTCCTGCCTCAATTTGCTGTCAAAATCTCTATTGTGAAGCGGTATAACATAATTTACGCACATCCTGAAAGTAGTTTGTTTAAAATAGTTTACTGAATCGATTTCTAACATTTTTAATATAGGTAATTTTTTATAATAATAAAAATAATTGAAACTACGTAATTTACAGTCACACTAAACCTATACAGTCAAAACAAACTGAAATGGACCGTAACTTAAGGCAATAAGACTTTTAAAGTGCAGTTTTATTTGTATTAATACAAATTCCGTCATTGAATACAAAATAAACAAAATTGAAGCTTATTTAAAGTAAGTTAAAGTCTTTACAAATACAGAGTTTGGAGTGCCTTATAAAGGTGCGGCGGCCAGGCCATTGACCTCCCCGATCAGCTGATTTGACGCCTCTTGACTTTTTCTTTTTTTTTATGGGAACGTATTAAATCATTAGTTTATTTTAGTGAGACAACAAGTGCCGAGGACCTAAAAATAGGATAGTGAACGCTTTTATAATAGTGAAAAATGACACTGAATTGCTTTCTAAATTATTTTCTTTCTTTTTAAAACGTAACCTCCACACTAGGATTTTCTCTTGTATTGTGGGGACAGCTTACAAACAAATTGCACAAGGACAAACATCCAGACCCGGATCAATTATTTGTAGGCCATACATATACTTGTTCTGTGCGGGATTCGAACCCGCGGCCCCTAGCGCTGCAACTCAATTGCTAAGCCACTGCGCCACGGAGCCGTGGTGGAAATTTTGAAAGTGTATTAAAATATAACGTTGCATGAGAGTTTAGGCTATCAGTAAGTTAAATATTTGATTCTTAAAACTATTGTAATCTTGATTCACATTGTCTGGTTATTAAATAAATATCCACATTATTGTAGATTAAACTAATATCAATTCATTGTAAACAGATAGCTTCATAGTTTCCAACAACATTTAACACGGTATAGAGTACGATTATTTTAGTTATAAAAACTCTCCATAGATGGCGCTATCCCTTTGTAAATCGCGCAACAAATTGATTCTTTTCGGAACCACAAGTTAAATATGTTATAGAAATAAATTGTTTTTTCTCGTCAATGAATGTTGGTGTTTTATTCATGGCCTTCGGAGCCGGATGTAGAGTGAAGTGAACCAGTGAGCAGTGGCGACACCTAGCGGTTGGTGATTTATACGGAGTTGAGCAGCAGACGCAACTGAGGAGAGCAAGTTTGTATGGGCGTAAAACTGTAAGTACATTTATATCAGTATTGGCAATAGAAGTTTGAAATTGAAAATAAATTGAACCTTAAAGCAAAGAGATATTCAACTTAGAAAAATTTGAAGATTTATTAGTAGTACATGGACTTGTAAAATTTTATGTTGAATTGTGGTGGAGACGGGGAATCCATGCCCGATTTTGCCTAAGTGTGTACAATCCAAACACTTAGAAAAATCACGCACATACTGGACATAGAAAATATAACTAGCTCTATCCCCTCAACGGGACTTGTAAAAAAAAATTGTCATATTTCAAATAAATAAAGGTAACAATGGAAAGCAAAATAAGAGCTCAGTTAGATATGTACAACCGAATGGAAAATGCCAGAGTCAATTTTAAGAAATCTCCAAAAGATCAAACTACATAGAAACTAGAATTGACATTTTGAATGGACAGTGGGAAACATTTAACAAAGTACATGAACAACTTATTAGTGAAGTCAGTGATGCTAATTATGCAGAATTAGATTACTTTAACGAGGATTTTTTACACCAAAACAGAAGACTTATACACAGATTATAAAACAGAATTAAAAGCAAGCTTGGAAAAATGTACTCGCGTACCGACCAAAACGCAGGACACGTTGCGTAGCAATGAAGAACAAATTAATGTGCAGCTTCCAAAGATTTCTATTCCTAGTTTCTCCGGAAGGTACTCAGAGTGGACCACGTTTCGTGATCTCTTCTTATCACTCATTCACAATAATAATTCGTTACAAAAGGTGCAAAAACTTCACTACCTAAAAAGCTATTTAACCCTGTGAAGCGGAACAACTATTGCGAAATCTACCAATAACAAGTGACAATTATTCAGTGTGTTGGGATCTTTTGGAGAAAAGATTTAACAATAAGAAATATGTAACTAACTGTATTTTAAAACGGTTTTTAGCCAATAAAATATTATTCATGAAAATTCAAGTGCTCTTAAAGAAATGTTTGATACTACTAACGAGTGTTTAAATGTGTTGAAAAATACTGGTGTGAACACTGAAAATTGGGATATTATTGTGATTTATCTTTTGTCCTCAAAATTAGATAGTGAATCTCGCAAGCAGTGGGAAGCAAAAATTTGTGACTGTACAAACGACTTGCCCACATTAAAGCAATTTTTAGAGTTTTTAGAACACAGGTACAGATCACTCGAATTTTTGAATCCTAAAATCACAAAATGTACTCAATCCCATCATGTATCCACAAAAAATAATGACAAGGTATCTGTTCCATGTTCCTACTGTTCTGCTAATGATCATAAGTTCGGAAATTGTAAGAAGTTCGCAAATGAAACTATTAGCACGCCCTAACTTTGTCCAAACCTCAAACTTGTGTTTTAACTGCTTAGGTGCAAATCATTCGGTCATAATGTGTCCTTTGCCCACCAGATGTAGAATTTGCAAAAAGAAACACCACTCGCTATTGCATTCAACCACCACCAACGTTCAATCAAATAATGTGAAGGTAACCACTCAATCGAATAGTAACAATGTTGTCGCGGCAACAGCGACAGCATCAGACGAAAGTTATCAGACCAACATTACCACTTGTTTCTCTAACAACAAGAGTCAAGTGCTTTTAGCAACCGCTTTAGTAAAAGCTGAAACAAACAACGGATCTTTTATGACACTTAGGTCTTTACTGGACCAAGGATCACAGGCTTCGTTTATAACGGAGTCTGCAGTCCAATTACTTGGGCTGAAGAAGGAAACAAGCAAAAGTGTCATATTTGGAGTAGGGAGTGAGTGCAACTCTAAACATGTAGTACACATCAAACTACAATCGATCCATGATCTAACCTTCAACATTAAAGTGAGTGCACACGTGCTCACCAAACTTACCATATTTCTTCCTGAACGATATGTTGACATACAGCTATATTATATGCCAAAAATGAGGTTGGCAGATCCAAATTTCAACGTTCCAAACAAAATAGACTTGCTGTTGGGTGCAGAGGTCTATTGTCAAATATTATTAGAAGGGTTACTTAAAGGTCCAATAGGAACCCCTATAGCGCAAAACACTAGACTCGGCTGGATTTTGTCGGGCCAAGTATCTGAAGGTCGTAAAACGCAATCAAGCTGTAGTAACTCCATAACCACTTTACACACTCAAGTTATCGAAGAAGATATTTGATCTTAAACAATTTTAGGAAATCGAATCTGATCAATGTCTTCTCAACAAAACTCACCACATACCTGAGGAACAAAGATGTGAAGAATTCTATAAGAAAACCACCACAAGAGACCCTTCAGGACGATATATCGTCAAACTACCATTCAAGATGGAAAACCCGAGCTGCAAATCAGGGAATTCGCGGGAAATTGCAGTGAGCAGATTCCTTATGCAAGAAAAGCGTTTAGTACGGTCACCACAGCTTAAAGATCTCTATTCCGACGTTATTGATGAGTACCTGGAACATGGTCACATGGAAAAGGTACCAAAAAATAAGATCAATAAATCAGATAGTGTGTACTTACCTCATCACGCCGTAGTGAAGCTTAACAAGACAATATCCAAACTGAGAGTTGTCTTCGATGCTTCGTGTCGCGATAACAACGGTGTATCTCTCAACAGTGAATTGATGATAGGTCCAACTCTTCAATCGGATCTGCGTTACTTGGCGATGAGATGGAGACTTCACCCTGTATGTTTGGTCGCCGACATAGTTAAAATGTACCGCCAAATATTGATGGCTAGTGAAGATATAGATTACCAGCGATTGGTTTGGCGAGCCAAGACGGAACAACTTATTGAACATTTTCGATTGTTGCGAGTCACATTTGGCACTGCTGCAGCTCCATATCTCGCAGTTAGAACACTGCACTAGCTCGTGTATGATGACGGAATACCGTTTCCATTAGCATCTGAAAGAATCTTAAATGATTTTTATATGGATGACTTACTTACTGGCTGCGAAACAGTCCTGGAAGGAAAACAAATCTATAAAGAGATCAACGAACTACTGAGCAAAGGGGGGTTTGAACTTCAGAAATGGTCAAGCAACAATGAAACTCTGTTAAAGGAAATAAGCGAAGAAATAGAAACAACAGAAAGCAATTTGGAACTCAAAATAGATGAAATCATTAAAATACTCTGACTTACCTGGAATCGACGTACCGACAACTTCGAATACTCCGTGCAGCTACCGCCACTCGTAGAACCTATAACAAAAAGAAAGGTTATATCAGATATTGCAAGACTGTTCGATCCTATGGGATGGATTGCTCCAGCCATTATAAAAATCTTCATTCAACAGCTGTGACTAGCGGGAATCGGTTGGGATGAAGAGCTCCCACCGAAACTACTCAATGATTGGATTTCTTACCGAGGTGAACTTACGGCACTTACACAATTCCGCCTGCCGCGCTGGGTTGGTATGAACAAGACATGTATGAAACTGGAGTTACACGGATTCAGTGACGCCTCTGCGGATGTGTATGCTGCTGTGGCTTACGCCCGCGTGGTAGATGAATCTAGAACTGTCAGGATTACTCTCTTTACGTGTAAAACCAAGGTAGCCCCAATAAAGCAAGTGTCTATCCCGAGGCTAGAGTTGTGCGGTGCCGTTCTTTTGGCGAGATTATTAAGAGAAGTCTCTGAAGTTTTGAAAGTACCGAAGACAAATCTACATGCATGGACGGACTCCACAATCGTTTTAGCTTGGTTGAGCAGTCATCCAAGCCGCTGGAAGACGTTCATTGCAAATCAAGTTTCAGAAATTTTGAACATTTTGAACAGAGATCAGTGGTCACATGTGTCATCTACTGACAACCCGGCAGATTGCGCTTCCCGTGGAGTCAACCCGTCGGAATGTGAAGCAATTCCCCTCTGGAAAGCTGGACCTGCATGGTTAAAGGACACGAATATGGAATATAACAGGAAGGAGTTAAGCGACACGGATTTGGAAGAGAAAGGAAAGAAAGTTTGTCATGTGACCAGGGAAGATGAATTTGAATTATGGATTAAGTTTTCGTCTTTACAGAAATTGACCAGAGTTATAGCTTATTGTTTGAGATTTATATCAAAGACGAAAAAATCTACTGAAGCAACAACATTTCCGAGTTGGTTAACTTGCAGAGAGCAATTCAAATCAGCATAAAGGCGTGTCAAGCTACGTACTTTGCACAGGAAATCAAAGATATTAAGTTTAGAGGTGCAGTTAATGAGAAAAGCAAACTTACCACTTTGACCCCTTTCCTGGACGGTGAAGGAATTTTGAGAGTTGGTGGTCGTCTTGAGAGAGCTGATGTAAGTGATGACAAAAAACACCCGATTATCCTGCCATCGAAATCTCATTTCACAAATCTTATCATTGCAGATGTCCATCAAAGAACCCTACACGGAGGTCCTCAATTGATGATCAATTACCTACGATCCAAATATTGGACCCTCGATGTAAAAAATCGTACCAAATTATTTGTACGCAAATGTGTCACATGTATACGATATGCAGCACAATGTAGACACCAACTCATGGGACAACTACCTGTAGCTCGGGTCACTCCAATCCGCCCATTCTATCAAAGCGGCGTGGATTATGCTGGACCCATCCAGATAAGGACTTCTAAAGGAAGAGGTCATCGAGCGTACAAGGGCTATATATGCCTATTCGTATGTATGGCTACAAGAGCCGTACATTTGGAAGCCGTAACCGATCTTACGTCACAGGGATTCCTCGCAGCCTTCAAAAGGTTTGTTTCTAGACGTGGCCATTGCGCTGATCTCTACAGCAATAATGGAACAAATTTTGTGGGTGCTGCGTGCGAGCTAAGAACCCTAGTAGCTCAGGAAAATTCAACCATGACGAGAGAAATCGCTGAGAGTTTAGCTACTGCTGGGACCAACTGGCAATTATCCCACCGAGAGCTCCTCACTTCGGTGGACTTTGGGAGAGTGGGATAAAGTCCACAAAACATCACCTGAAGTGTGTGATCGGCACAGAGACCCTAACTTACGAGGAGATATCTACTCTGCTGTATCAAATTGAGGCATGTCTTAACTCTAGGCCGTTGCCACAGGTTAGCACCAATGCACAAGATCCAACACCTCTCACACCGGGACATTTTATCATCGACGAACCCTTGGTGCTTGTCTCAGATGCCAATTATGAAACTTCGTCAATATCTTCTCTGAAACGCTGGCAACTAACCCAGAAAATGTTACAGAACTTCTGGCGAAGGTGGTCTAGCGAATATTTGACTCAGTTTCTGCAACGTCACCGGTGGGCAAACCAAACACCAGAGCCTAAAATTGGGGACTTAGTTTTAGTTAAGGAGGATGATCTTCCTCCAGCGAAATGGCTTATGGGTATTATTACAGAAAAACATAAGGGTGCTGACAATATTACGCGGGTTGTGAGTCTCAAATGCAAAGATGCCATAATTAAAAGGCCTATTGTAAAATTGTGCGTCTTGGCAGTGGCAGAATAATGCCTACTTTTTTATTCTCTTTCGTGTCAGTCAATGCTTGACACGTTTATTGTTATTTTCAAGCTTAAGTTGTTTTTTGTTTGGTGAAATGAGCATGTTGTAAATGTAAATGTTTAGATTAAATATCTTTGGATTCTTTATTTAATAAGATTTTTAGGATTTTAAAGATTCTATTTAATATTTGTTTTTTGTTACCTATGCACCATGATTCAACCATTTGGATCTACCCACTTTCATATTTTACCTTATCTATTTACAGTCCACTTCCGTTGATTGTTGATTCATGGTGGGCGGGAATAATGACCATTCTGGCCATGGTGGGCGGAATGTCTAGTTATTAAATAAATATCCACATTATTGTAGATTAAACTAATATCAATTCATTGTAAACAGATAGCTTCATAGTTTCCAACAACATTTAACACGGTATACATTACGATTATTTTAGTTATAAAAACTCTCCATAGATGGCGCTATCCCTTTGTAAATCGCGCAACCAATTGATTCTTCTCGGAACCACAAGTTTAATATGTTATAGAAATAAATTGTCTTTTCTCGTCAATGAATGTTGATGTTTTATTCACACATCTTTTAAACACGCCGTATTTGAATTATGTTGTCGTATTGCCTCTTATTTTTAGCAGTTCATTATTATTCACAATTACAATTAAAATTTTATGCAAATCCATAACATTTTGTAACAAATATTGCCTATTAACATTGTATCATAATAAATAAACAAAATTATTCAGAGTCGAAAGTCCAAAGCCTGAAAAGTGTGATGGAAAGATGCAATCAAATATTTACTAGACTTAAATAAACAACTCAATGCACGGAGTTCTGACATCTGTTAATGTTCATTGGTAGGTATTTCTTTAACGTAAATAATCGTGTATTGTCGGTTTTTTCCAGCACTAATACCTACCTATAGCTGTGTCAAGCGGCGGCGGCGTTAACTCGTCTCGAATGCGAGCGAATACCTACTAGGTTAGCAAGACCTATGATTTGTACGTGACCACAACATTCTTCCGGAATTAGTATAGCTAATTTAATAAATAATCAATGCATAAACATGTTTAACTAAGAATTCAGTGTATGTGTGGCAGCGTTCTCGTCGCGCCACAAGCGAAACACATCGAAGCATTAAACCGCGCTAACAAAGTTCCTTCATTATGATTATAATATAATATACAAATGGGGTGTCTGAGGATGTGCGTTAATTACATTAGATGTTGTATACATATATACTGACTGAACTCCAATTAGACTGCTGGACCGGTGGCTTAAATTCACAATTGGTAGGTTGGTGGCGGCAACAGGTGGCGCTGTTGTTGAGATCCAGAAATCACCCATGCGAAGCCAAAAGTCGTGATGTATAAATATTGGACGTCCACATGGCTTAAAGAACAAGCATCCAAGCCACAAAAAATTGGATTGGACGTTCACGAGCTGCCAACTTTGTTCTTTCTTCAGTCAAGTTTATTTTGACACTACTTTTGTGTTATAAATAAAAATTTTGCGAAATAAAAACTAGTACTTTAAGTGCCTAAAATTACATTTGGTATTTTTAAGTTTTATAGTGCAATAAAAGCCTGTATAATTACTTAATTTACGTACTTGGTAGCGTTCGATTCGACTAAATGTAAACAACGGTTCTCCGGTAATCCGGCATCAAGTTATTAAAAAAAGAAAATGTAAAGAATTTTGCATTTTCTTGCATTACCTTGTCATCCACACATTTAAATTGACTTCGCTGAATACTAATTGTACTTTATGGACTTCTATTGATGTTCCTTGCCAACAATAAATACGTTCAAAATGAGGATTAGAAGGCTTTCCGCAATTTTTTGGGCGACGTGTATAATTGCTTTTATTTTCATTCTGTACGTCGTTACCGATCTAAGTTTTAAATTGCCGAATATTAGGCCGGTTGCAGTGGAAATAGATGATGTAAGTAATGGAAAAATGTACATTAAAGTTTGAGTTAAAATTATATTTTTACTGCATTTTGTATTTTAATAATTCTTATCAAGATTCGTATTACAATTCAAAGTAAATAACTTATTCTGTAAACTGTTCAGTGAATTTTATTATTATTTTTTAACTTTTATTATTCTGTAATATTTATGCCGTCCAGTGCCGAAAGAGATAATTAGTTAATTCAAAATTTATTTATTTTGGTTTTTTTTAGAGCAAATGGACGTCATTTGAGTCTAAATTACGACACCTAGAAAAAGAGTTAGACCAACACCATGCAGTAGTCGGAGAAATCAAATCGGCTGTGGACCAAATTGTAGAGCAATCACAAGAAATTCATGTACCACCTAAAAGACTGAAGATTCCAAGAAAAGAGGCTAAAATTAGAGAATTTAGAGTGGTAGGAGATGAGCCACCAAGAATGCATATAAAATTCAATCACACAAGTTGCCCTATTAATCAAATCACATCAAAAACTGACATACAGGTAATTTCTTTAAGTTCAGGTTTGACATCTTGATTTTAAAATTATGTTTTATAATACAACTGTACATAATATGGTGATGGTTGGCAGCCACGTAGTGGAGTGTAAAAGGATCCATTTCCCGTATCTTCCCATGGGCATTGTAAGAGATGACAGAGCAAAAATAAAACAGCCTGTAGGCAGTAGCATCTTTGTATTAAAAACTCAAAATATTAAAAACCAACCTGCCTGCAAAAGTCCATGCAAGAGCCATGGTAGCTCAGATGGTTAGAGCTAGCTGTAAGTTCCACAACAACAAAGCAACCTGGGTTCGTTCCCCGCCAGCACCAATGAAAATATTAATTGCAATTTCAAGTGTGATTTACCACGTGCCTGGCGGTGAAGGAAAGCATAGTGAGGAAAACAGCATGTCTGAGAAATAAGAATAATAAATATTTCGAAGACATGTGAAGTTCGCCAACACCCATTGGGGGAGTGTGGCAGACATTTCCTTGCCCAAAAACCCTCTCAGAATTACGAGGAGGTCTGTGCCCAGCAGTGGGATGTATATAGGCTGTAACTTTTAAACTTTTACTGCAAAATTCCATAAAATTGGAACATACATATCAAAATCATCATCATTACAGCCTATCAAAGTCCACCGTTGGCTTGGGCTGCTCAAATTTGGACAAATGTTTGTCTTAATTACCGAACATTCTGTTGAACAGTATTAAAGTTCACTGTATTGAGTTGTGTGTGATTAGTGTAATTGGGCATGTGTAATGTCTTACATAGTTGTGCTATTTTCTTCTGTTTTTATGCTTCTGATATACACAAATTGAATTAAAACATTTCCTCCCACTAGATGGAGTGACGACCTGGTAAGATGTGCAGGAAGTCGATGGATGCAGGTGGTTCAGGATTGTGATTTGTGGTATTCATTGGGGGAGGCCTATGTTCAGCAGTGGACTTGTGAAGGGCTGTAATGATGATGATGATGATGAAATAGCAAATTAACATTAATTTAAATCTATTACTTATAAACTATAAGAGTTAATACAAATTTAATTATTACGTTAACAGTAGGCAAGTAGTGTAATAAGTAGGTACGCAGGTGGTTGTACAAAACATAAATACTTCTTGGCAGTCGGGTAAGATGGCGAACTTTTAATGCATTCTTTAGCAGTCAACGTTGAAGCATCCATAAAACTTTCCATAATAGATTGTCAGAGACACTTGACAGACTATGCTTTTGTGACTATTTCAGAATCATTTTCTGATGATAAAGACATGGAAAAGTTCACCACATTGATTATAAATCTATAGTTTTATCAATGGCATTATCCAATTCATTTAATTTCTTTTCTTCTTTTATGATGTGGTTAATGCAGTTTTTACACCTTATATGGTCAATATTGTATAGTCCTTCTTCAAATAGTTTTTGACGTCTGCCTTTTTAAAAGTGGTATTGTTTTGGTTTAGGTTTGTTATCTCTAAATGACCGCTTTGTTCACCCCACCCCGTACCATGAAACACGCTTAGCGCATAACGATACGTAATCGATAATGAAGTGTATGGAAGCAATACCTGTAGTTTTGTTTCGCTGATAACATAATACTTTAGGTCAATGTAACGTTTTTCCGCCTGCCCTAAAAACATACTATATATAATAGCATAGAATCATTTTTATTCAATATAGGTTACATGTATTTCTTATTGAGTCGTTTTTTACTTTTACCACCGGTTCGGAAAAATCCTCTGTCCTGGGAAGAACCAGCAAAAAACCCAGTGGGACTTTTTAAATGCATAATTTACAAATAATATTTATACAATTATTATGAAAACATTTAGAAACAGCATAGTAGCGATCACCTCTTTTGCATGGGTTATTATCAATCATGTATACTCTTTAGTAGTACAGTAACCCTCACTAAACTTTTTAACGCAGTCGGGTTTTTTTAATTACTGTTTTAACCGTTAAGCTTGTTTATTTTCTGCACAACTGTAAAGGATATAAAAGATTCTAACTTATTATTTGGCAATAAAAAAAAATTAAGAAATCATAGTAAACAGCAAATAAAACATTATTTTAAATAGTCTAACTGCTTTTTTCACTTTTTTTAGATGCTTTCTATGTATGAAAGAATAATGTTTGATGATAAAGATGGAGGAGTTTGGAAACAGGGTTGGGAAATCGAGTATAAAGATGATCAGTGGAATCAAAAGAAGAAGTTAAAAGTGTTTATTGTCCCTCATTCACATAATGATCCAGGTAAGCAATATGAAATTCACATTTGTATTTGTGCATTATAAAAATACAGAAAGTAAAGTCTTGAAACAGTGAAAATACTAAATAACATTCAAAAAGAAATATTTATTATGTGGAAATGTTTCACAGTATGTTTTTCTTAGTATAGCACCAGAAGTAGGTGCAAATACTGACTTTGTAACATTTATGTTTATTAATTTTTCTTACAATAATAGAGGAACTGAAACCTATACAATTTCGGTTTAAAAATATAATTTTTGCTATTAGTAGTAAACCAGAAATTATAATTAATTTTAATTATTTTAACATTTGAGTCTATTAATTTTTTTTTATAAAATCTAATAATATTTATTCCTGTATAGTGGAAGCAGATAGCATACATAAATCGTACTAGGATAAACACCAGACCCAGAACAACAATTTTTAGATGAAAAAACTCCGTGTGGTATTCGATCTCGCGGCCTTCAGCGCCACAACTCAATGCTAAGCCACTACCCTACGAAATCGTTAAAGAGCCGTTTTTAAGTCAGTGCCATGTCTTAAAAATCAAATAAAAAATGCTAGGGTGAAATACAAACTATTGTTACGAGGGCGGCACTGAAAATTTCGGGAATCAAGGAAGTGACACAACATTACTATTTAAAAATGTATTTATTGCTTTTCGAAGTATTCTCCGCGAAATTTGACACATTTTTCCATACGATGGAACCAATCATTGAAGCAACCATTCCATTCGGAAGTTGGGGTCTCCAAAATGGCCGTTTTGTAGGCGTCCACAGCTTCTTCAGGTAATGAAAATCTCTGTCCACGCAATTTATTCTTTATTTTAGGGAAAGTATAGAAATCATTAGGGCTTAGGTCGGGGCTGTACGGCGGATGGTTTAATAATTCTATGTTTTCTTGCTCTAAAACTCTTTTGTTCTGTGTGCGGTGTGAGAACTCGCATTGTCGTGATGGAGGATGATGCGGCGGTTGCAGTTCTCTTTACGGAGTTCAGAAACGACCTGTGGCTAACAAATGCTAGCATACCATTCTACATTAACCGTTCTTTGTCCCTCAAGAGGAATAGTCGTAACATGGCCGGTTTTGGAGACAAACGTGGCCACCATTTTTTTTGTAACACTCCGTGAACGAACAATTTTTGTTGGCTTTAACTCATTTTCGAACACCCAAACTCGTGACTGGTTTTTTGTTTCGGGTTCGTACGCGTATATCCAGGATTCGTCACCTGATACGATATTGTATACAGCATTTTAGGATCCTGCGTGGAATCTTTCGAGAGTTCTGACGCACCAAGTAACGCGAGCCGCTTTTTGCTCTTCACAGAGCGAATGCGGTATCCTTCGGGAAAACAACTTTATTACACCTAATTGTTCATGCAAGATTATTTGTATTTGACTCATGCCAATGTCTAAAGTTGCCTGAATTTCGCGGTATGTCACATGTCGATCTTCCTCAATCAGCTTACGCACAGCATCAACGTTTTCTTGGGTGACTGCAGTTTTTGGACGACCTTGACGGGGATCATCACTGTGCTTGACATGTCCACGTTGAAATTCAGAAAACCAGTGATAAATTGTGGTTTTGGATGGGGCTTCATCACCAAATGCAGAAATCATCCGGTCAACACACTGTTTTTGTGTTAAACCACTTCGAAAGTCATAATAAATCATCGCTCTTGAATTTTCTCGAGTCAATTCCATTTTCTCAACGACTAAACAAGTTGACAAAACCTTGTGACAAGACCGAGAATGTTTTTTTAAATAAATAAATGGTATTCGATTTTTAAAACCAAGGAGTTTTCAATTAAAGATTTTAATATGACAGGAACAGCCTATGTATAAATACAATTTTATACAAATCCTTCAAATTCAACTAATATATTATTCCATTTACAAATTCCAAAGACTGGTGACTAAGAGAATACAAGGGTGTGTTTTAGGTTCAAGCATGGTCATAAATAACCCAACTAGATCTAGCCCTAGTCTTTTTTTATGGGATAGGTTGACTAACGAGCACACAGTCCACCTGATGGTAAGTGGTTGCTCTGACCCATAGACGTCTACATTTATCCTCAATAAAGAATCAAAATGCAGATGCGTTGTCACCCGTGAGGACAAAGATGGAATTCCTCTTTTCCAGTAAAATGGGTCTCCGGTAATCTACACTTACCATACGAAACAGCAGTGTCAAGCTGCCATTTTACGCTGGTATTCTGTGAGAGCGTGGTCCTTCCCCGGTCGAGCCGAGCTATTCGTGCTACAACTATACTACTAATATAGCTGCAGCATGGCTCTACCACATATAAAAGTCCCCTGATGGAAGTCTTTTAAAAGTCCCCTTATGGATACAGCGACAGATATATAGGGAAGATTTGTTGTAATCTGCTGCTTCATATCACTGATCTAAGGTGTTTTGTATAAATACAAGATAGTTACACCGTTTACTCCAATTATGAACTAGCTACTCCAACATTATTATGTCAGAGATCACAACATTCGGGCTTTCCTCTAAACCCTTTGACAACTCTAATAACTTGCTTTCTTTTATGTAGCAAACCCACTGTCTAATAAGTTATTATGCATATTATGCATAATCTTTGCAATTGACCATTTTAAATATAAATAGGCCGTAGTGTGGTGGTGTTAGAATAACCATTACCCCATATCATTCTGTGGGGGTCGTAAGAGGTGACAAAGGGAAAAAAACAGAAGATGGGCAACAGCGTATTCCTACTAACTACTAAAAAAAAATACTTCGGTTGCCAACCCGCTTGCCAAGCATGGTAACTATGGCAAATAATACTCCTTTGAGGCAATCTATGTGGAGGCCTATGTTTAGCAGTGGACTTTAATAGGCTGTAACCATGAAGCTAATACAAAGGGGAGACGGCATAAGCAACTGTGCACTGTGATTCTAAGTAGGTCCTGACGTCATCATAGTGGGCGTGGCTTTAGTTAGTTTACTGACAGCATTCGTCCTGTGCGCTTATGTGTTGAAAAAAATCGCAAATCGGTGTATTTTCGTAGTATTAAGAAGAAAAGGATGAAGTGTTGTGTTTTATTGTGTAAAAACTACTCAGATAGACGCTCTGATGTTATGGATGGCATCACATTTCATTTGTAAATATTTTTACACCTAATTTATTAAAATAGTTCTAGAAAAATCTCTTTGCGTCGGCTTTCAAATATAATTAAATATATTCGACACTAGATGGCGACACTTTGTGTCATGTGAACTAAAAATGTAAAGGTAGATCTCAGTATTGGTAAAATAATCATACGAAGGTGCTGAAATTTGTTTTGCATTCAGACATAAAGAAATTTTAATCGCAACATATCATTTTTATAGTTTATAATCATTTTGAGAACAGGCCGTATTCTCGTCAACCTCATAAAAATGACAAAAAGACAGGGCCCTAATTAGAATTCAATTATTTTTCCCAGTAATCCAACTTTTAATATTAAATGCAGGAAATTGTACTTAGGCTGATTTTTACGAAATGTTTAAGTTATATTTAAGTGCCACTCTATATGCAAAGAATCACTTAAATACAATTTAATGTTCTTAGATTGGCATTCAAAAAGTGCATTCGGATGCCTAATTTGGAATAAAATATTTATAGTTTAATTGATTTGTAAATAAAATTATATTAATTATAATAATTTGTCTATTATTTGTTCTCCCTCAGAGATATTAAGTAGTATAACCCACACATAAATAATAATCCAGCCGTTTCTGCGTGAAAAAATTACACATACTTAGTGTGGAATAAGCTCAAGGAGACAGAAAGAGCACACAAAATTTCGCCTTTATAATATTAGTGAGATAAGTAGGATATTTAGTTCCAAATTAAATATCCTACTTAATATTGAACATAGAATATTTAGTTTCAAAGAGACTTTATTTTATGGATAAAATAAATATTTCTTGGTTGACTTTCACGAAATGATAAACATATTTAAATTGTATTTAAGTGATTCTTTGCATATAGAATGTCACTTAAATATTAAATATACTCGTAACTTAAACATTTCGTAAAAATCAGCCATGTACAATTTCCTTCATTTTAATATTGAATGTTGGGTTACTGGGTATAATAATTTAATTCTAATTGCGGCCCTGTCTTTTTGTTATTTTTTATGAGGTTTACTTGACGATAGATGGCGGCCTGTTCCCAAGATTATTATGAAATCTATGAAAATATTATTTTGGCGATTAAAATTTCTTTGTCTGAATGTATTTGCTTCATGAGATAGACGCTCCGAAGCTATGGATGGTATTTTTCATTTGTAAGTAATTTTACACCTAATTTATTAAAATAGTTCTAGAAAAATCTCTTTGCGTCGGCTTTCAAATATAATTAAATATATTCCACACTAGATGGCGACACTTTGTGTCCTGTGAACTAAAAATATAAAGGTACGTAGAGCTCAGTAATGATAAAATAATCATACGATGGTTCTGAAATTTCTTTGCATTCAGACATAAAGAAATTTTAATCGCCAAAGTGTTATTTTTAAAGTTTATAACATTTTGTGGACATGCCGCCATCTACCGTCAAGGTAGCTAAGCTACATTGCAACATCGATATGGAAAGATTCGAGTAGTTTTACTATTTATCGGTAGATGTAGATAGTGTAGTGGGCGGGGCTTTGCATCCCCTCACCCCGCAAATTGTCACGCGTTGTTTCATAGTGAAATTTAATTACAACGTCTCCTCTTTGTATTTGCTTCATGGCAGTAACAGTAATGGCCCATTTTAAAATTCATCATTTGCCACCTGACTTATATATATTTTTGTAGGCTGGATCAAAACCTTCGAGAACTACTACAAAACACAAACGAAGGCAATATTTACTAATATGGTGGAAAAGTTGACACAAGGCGTTGGTAGAAAGTTCATTTGGGCTGAAATAAGTTTCCTTTCTTTATGGTGGAACTCTGATGCAACTGATAAAGAAAAGTCTACATTTAAGAGGTGTGTATTGTTTTCTTAATAATTTTAAACTTCATTAAAAAAAATGACATTTTTATCTGGTGCCTCTTTCGAAACCCACAAGATAAAATGGGATAGCAGATTTTCTTACGAAGCCAGTAAACGCTACCACGCTGTAGTATATAACATTGTTATATTATATTTTTATATTATTGTTATATTATTCTTTTTCAGTCTTTTGAAATCCGGCCAAATAGAAATAGTTACAGGTGGATGGGTGATGAATGACGAAGCCAACTCACATTGGATTTCCATTATTCAACAGCTCACTACTGGTCATCAATGGCTATTTGACAATTTAGGGTACATTCCAAAGAATGCATGGGCAATAGATCCTTTTGGTCACTCCAGCGCACAGCCGTATCTGCTTAAACTGGCTGGATTAGAAAACTCTGTGATTCAACGTGTTCATTATAGAGTCAAAAAGGAGTTAGCTTTGAATCGACAGCTGGAGTTTAAATGGCGACAATTGTGGGGTAAGTTCGACAATAAACACCCCTTTTTTGTTTTGTGCATTTGACCCTAGTTGCGTCTACAGCTGACTGTCTGCAAAAATTGAATAGCCCATCACAAAAATGTCTCGGATCCAATACTCGATTCTATATTCGCGATTTATTATTTTGTGTTTGTTTTCTGTAATTTAGTTAATACTCGTTTCTATGACATACTACTTGCAGTCTTCTTTGTGGTAAGCGACACATGCAAATAATCCGTATAAAGATGGCTGCTGATGCGTTAACACCCTGAGAAAGAAGATATTTTTTTAAATCAATAACTAATAATTAAGTTCAGAATACAAAGTTTCAGATGCAAACAAAACAAGGAAAGAAAAAATTGTGTTCTGATTGTAGGTAAACTAATTTTTTCGGCATAAGAGACACCGCAAAATGCAGACTTTCTATCGGCCGAGAGTTTAGTCTGGTTGAGCTTCTAGTGCGCACACTGGGCCAATTAAACAGTTGGGTTAGTGGTGAGTGCGCACACTAGCCGAATGTCGGACGCTCTTTTGCAAAAATTGTAGTTAGTGAGCAGCTCTTGAGTCAGCAGTGAGTAGTCGCGTAATCAAACCCGTAATATTGACCAAAAATGTAATTATTGCTATTATAAAACGAAAGAGGCGAATCAAGAAGAGAAACCGAGAATACTGGGTGCATTCTACATACAGTGACAGATTACTTCTACTCACAGCTTGTTCATTAAGTTTACATCATATTTCAACTTCCTCTAGCAACTGTAAAATAGATGATTCGACAAGCAGCGCCATTATGATGCACGGACACTTGTTTTCCGTGCCAAATTTTTGAGCGAAGTTACGTTATCGACCGAGCCCGCCGACTAAACAATCGGCGTGTATGCGCACGTTGAAGAGCGCCGCACTGATTTAGCAGTTGGCCGATAATTGACCAACAATTCAATTTGAAGGGAATCGTGTAGCCCATCAAACTGATTTATCGGTCGATAATTAATCGTTATAATATGCGCACTTGCATACATCTCAATACTGATTAAAAGAAACTGACTAAACTATCAATCAATCAATTATTTATTAATTCATAAGCATGGATATTACAGGATGTCACAAACAAAATTGTTATTAGATAGAGCCATGTTTCACCTTAGAGGTATATGAACATAATTGGAGTAATTTTTACATTTTGTCATCAAAAAATATTCTTATGTACTGTAATGTAGTACACTTATTCAATAAGGAAGCCATTGAGCGCAGTTTTAAATCTTTTGATATCATTAATTAATCGGATATTTAATGGGATTTTATTACAGAGTTTTGGTGCCATGCAATTTACACACATTCTTCGAAGAAGGGGTTTGCATTTGTGGTTAACTTTCAATGTGCCTTCACGACGATTTCCAGCAGTATTCATTTCAAAATAAATTGGGTTATTTCGAACAAAGTTTGCAACCTCATATATATACATACACGGTAGAGTCAGAATTTTATATTTGCGAAAGTACGGTTCACATGAATCATTCTGATTTAGACCGAACATCGATCTAACACACTTTTTTTGCGCTTTGAGGACACTTTGTTTTTCTGTTGTGTTGGTCCAAAATATTATTCCATACCTTAAGTTTGTGTTAGGAGAGTTTTAACACTGGCAACTTTTCGTAGTTTGTAAAGGGCATAAGAGAATTGGTTTAGTTTTTTAATTACATTATCAATATGAGGTTTCCATGTCAGCTTATTATCTATAGTCAAACCTAAAAATTTTGTAGTGTGTAACTCTTCAATTGAATTCCCAGAGTAGGTAGTGTCAAAATTTAAAGTATAATTTTTCTTTGTTTAAAGTTTAGTATATGTGTTTTTGTGAAATTAATTGTCAGGTTATTTAATGTCAGCCATTTGAATAAAGATGTCAATGTATTATTAATGTCAATATTGATATTATTCTCATTGTCATAAGTAAATAAAACAGTACTATCGTCAGCAAAAATAGTCATTGATTACATTAGGAAAGTCATTTATATAGATAATAAAAAGGAGAGGACCCAGTACACTTCCCTGAGGTACTCCATAGTTTACTTGACTCTCTTTCGATCTGTATATTTTGTTTTCACCGGTCTTAGAGTCAATTTTGGTTATATTATGTGTAATTTGTCTTCTATTACTTAAGTAACATTCGATTAGCTTTAGAGCGTTGCCTCTTATACCATACCTTTGTAGTTTATTAAGTAATGTTTTATGATTAATATTGTCAAATGCTTTGGTCATATCCATAAATAGTGCTAGTGTAGGCTTTCGGTTGTTAACGTTTTTTTACGACCCTTTCCAAAAACTCGTATATAGCCATACTAATGGATTTATCTTTTCGAAAGCCGTATTGATGCTTCGAAAATAGATTAATGGTTTCAAAGTAATCGTTTATTTTTTATATATATATATATATATATATATATATATAATATGTTCTATTAACTTTGAAAATATTGAAATAAGTGAAATAGGACGATAGTTTTTTAAACAGCTTCTTGTCATCCTTTTTGAATATCGGGATAGTTAAATAAAACTAATTTTACGGATTTTATCGCCTATATTAACTTATTTTACATTCCCGACGTTTCAAGCACTTTACAGCACCCATGGTCACGGGGGTCATGTGTAGTGTTCGCGTAAATATAAGAAATCATTATCGGGATAGTAATTGCCAATTTCAATATATCTGGAAATGTTCACTGTTCTAAGTATAAATTTATAATGTAACACAAGATGTGAGTTATTATATTCCCTACTATTTTAATAATCTTAGTGGAAACATCAAAACCTACACTATTAGTATTTTTCAATAAATTAATAGATTTAACAACATCTAAGGGTATGATTGGGGTCAAAAAAATTGAGTTACGTTGACTATGTGGAATAGAAGTAGGTTCGGGCTTGTCCTTATCGACTGTTTCCGATGAGTTTGTAAAAAAGTTGTTAAAAGCGTTCGCAATTTCTGTCGGTTCAGTTAACTCTTTATCGTTACTTAATATACTGTTAATCTGTTCCTTAGGAAGGCTGCTATTATACTTATTATAATTATCTTCCACGTTGCTTGGGATTTATGTTTTGACTGAGCTATATAATAGTCATTCTGTGCCTTTTTAATAAGATTAATTATTCTCTTGTACCGTCTACTATAGTTAGTAAATATTAATTTATTTGTTGGTGGCGGAGATAGTCGATATTTCCACAGGAGTTTACAACGTTTTTTACTACATAATTTAATGCTCTTTGAAATCCATTTCGATTTGTTCAAAGTAGAGATTTTTACTTTGATTTCTGGATCGCCCGATGGAAAGTCCGCAGTGTGCGGTGTTTTACCTATTTCTGTCGCCAAATAGCTTGCGCTTCCATATTCCGCTCTAATGGGTATGGAGAGCCACGTGCCATGAGGTAAACTGTAAGTTCGTCACTACCGATTTATAAAAAAAAAAGAAAAAAACAATGAAATTAATATGTGGGCAAAACGTAGTGGTTACGAAAAATAATACAGACTTGAAAATTTGTTTGTTGTAAGCTCAAAGTAATTTTTACGAAATTTTTTTGCAGACGGTAATGGCAAAACCGATATGTTTACCCACATGATGCCTTTTTATTCTTATGATGTGCCCCATTCATGTGGACCAGATCCTAAGGTAAAATTTGTGTGAATTATATAACTTGTTTATTTTATTATTTCATTTACTTACAACTGGTAACCTTACAACCTATCAAAAGTACACTGCTGAACATAACCTCCCCCATAGATTGCCTCATAGGGGGAATATTTGCCATCGTTGCCAAGTATCGCGGGCGGGTTGACAACCGTAGTTTTTATTTTATTATTTTGTTGTTATTAGGAAGACACTGCTGCCCGTCTCCCGGTTTGTTTTTATCTGTCGCTTCTTTTTTTATAGGATAACGTGACAAACGAGCACACAGTCCACCTGATGATAAGTGGTTGCTGTGACCCATAGTCATCCACATCTATCCTAGATTACGAATCAAATTGCAAATGCGTTGGCACCCGTGAGGACTAAGATGGAATGCTCCTTTCCAGTAAAATGAGTCTTCGGTTTTCTACGCTCACCATACGAAACACAGCAGTGTTAAGCTGTTATTTTACGCTGGTATTCTGTGAGAGAGTGGTCGTTCCCCGGTCGAGCCGACCCATTCGTGCTACAACTATACTACTAATAGCTGCAGCATGGCTCTACCGCGTACCAAAACACCTTACGTCGCCCACGTGACGATATAGTGTAGTGAATATTCTTGCAACCGCCACTACATGGTATTCACAACACTGATAGCTAATAAGCATGGTTTAAGCACTATCCAACTTCATTTCTTCTTGGAATGAATTTCCTTTTTACGGATTTTATTACACATGGGAAGGTAAATAAGTTAACCGAAAGGAGGCCAAAAGCTTTATAATTATACTTAGTAATTTTTTCTTCCCCATTAAAATTTCTTCTTAAACCCTTAAATATTTTTAGACCGGCTTATTAATGTATATATTTTACGAGTATCTTTATCTGGGACAAAACTCCGATGACGTTTTAAACCGTCAAACAAAATGATTTATTGTTTCCTCTAACGAAGGCTAATAATTTTCTGCTCACCAGATGTCGCTAGTTGACACTGAGGTAAAGTTTTTTGTTACACAATGTTATTTAATTGAACAGTTAGTTTATAATAAAAGTTTATCAGTTGCTAGAGTATTATATTAATAAAGAAAATGATGCCTCGGTGGTTTTCTCTTTACTTTTTTTGCACATTTTTAACATTTTTTTAAAATTCTTCTACTTTTATGAATATGTGTGGTTTGCTTTATTTATTTTTAATCTTATTAATATAACATATAGCTAATAGTACAGAAAGAAACAATAACCTTTATATTTTCCGAAGAAATTAACTTCCCCGCTATGAAATGAATGCTATGGCGCCGCCCCGATGGCAGAAAAAGTCGTGGATGCCCTCATTCGGCAGTAATCGCTCTTGACCTCATCGTCACTCACAAATCTTTTCCTCCAAATATCTATTCATTTTCAAATCAAGAGGCTAAATCTGTGTTTGCTCAATTTGTGTTTCAAAATATCAAAGCCCATTCTATGTACAACAGCCATCACCACATGTGCGTTATACGGGGGCATAGTCGTGCAAATTTTTGTGCTATTCAATACCGCTGCCTTCACTGTGACTTAGGGTCAAGCTCACAATGATAAGCTCAAGTTTCATCTCCAGTAACAATTCGATCCAAAATTTCTACCCAGTTTCTCTACAAAGTTCGAAAAACTCGCGGCGACATGCTGCCCGTCGCTGCTTTTGGAGCGACGTGATAATTCTCAGCACCCATCTTGCGCACACCTTAGACAAGTCAATACGATTATGTACAAAAAAGATAGCGTCTCGCGCTACTATTTTACACAATTTTTCTACGATTGAAACGGAAACAGAAACTTTTATTCAATATAGAAAAAGGGTGACTTTCAATAAGTATTATAAATAATACTTATTTATAATACTTATTGAAAGTGTAGCGTAGATAGTGACTTTCAATAAGTATTATAGATAATACTTATTGAAAGTCACCCTTTTGTTTAATTACTACTGGTTCAAAAAAAGCCTCCGTCCTGGGACTGGCCAGCAAGAAACCCAGCGGGCCTTTTTAAATAAAAATAACAGCTTACAATCATGTACGTTTACATAATTAACAACACAAAACAATTTAAAAATAGCTTGGTAGCGATCACCTCATACCCAGGGCTTATTATCATCCATAAATTCCTTAGTATTATAATAACCCTTTTTATATAAACTTAGTTTAATAAAGTTTTTAAACTTTGAGCAGTTCAAATTTTGTATATTTTCTGGGATTTATTGTGAATTTCCTCAGTAGAGTAGCTTTAACAAGGCATCCCGTGTTGGTGTTCAAGACAGGACGTCTTGGTTTTCCTAGGGCAAGAATTCCAAATCGGTTTCAAAATTGTTTGTGGATTTCCCCCTGTTTAGTAAGGAATTCCATCAAAACAAACAAAATGTTTTATGTAATAACCGCCCCTGGAATTGATAGCCGCGGTAGCTCTTAGCCCTTGCGCTCGATATAAATTTCACAGTTCGCGAAACACCCGGGTTCGATCCCCGTCAGCTCCAGTGAAATTGTTAATTACAATTTTAATTGCTGATTAACCACATGCTCGGCGGTGAATACTTAATCTAATATGTAAAAATTAGTTTTTGTTTGTTCGTATTTTATTCGCTGCCATACCGTTCATCAGATTGCGGCAAAACTTTGGCAACTTATTGCTTGCACTTGCGCGATGGTTATAGGCATAGTACAAACAACTGACAGTAGGTGGCGCGGGTATTGTACCGACAAATTGTAAACAATATAACTCTTCCAAACATAAAACGATATTTCCACAATTATTTATTTTGCGGCAACAACGCACCGAGTAGTTTACAGGTTGGAATTATATAATGGAAAATGATTTATTGCCAAAATGTGACTTATTATTTTATACAAAAAATGAACACAAATGAAAATGCCTACATTAAAATATTTACAATGTCGAAGAAAAATCTTACTAATATCTGACATGCGATTGGTCGTAAATATGAACGAGAGGACTATAGCGCAAACTTTTTATACTCTTATTGGATTGTAAGAAACTGCGCGCGAGTGATTTCACGCGGATGGCGTAGGTAAATACGCCGCGATTGGGCGCGAAACGCGAATCGTTATATGCGTCTCAGGGCTCGCATCGGACGGATCTGTAGTCCTGCTGCGCGTAGTACTAAACTCGTATAACAGCTCTTCTCATAACCACATCATGCCTCATGTGGACAATACCCGTAATAGCTCTTTTCAGAACTGATTTTTCTGTGTTTCACGGAACGTCGAGTGTAGCTGAACTTGCAATGCTGTTAACGTTATAATATTATATTCCCTTTAACCACTACTTAGCTGAAATTGCTTGTGTGGTTCATAACAGTAGCCGAATGGCGGATTCGAACCCACAACCTTTTGAGTTCGAGTTCCGCACCCTCCCATTGGGTTACTGTCGCTTACTACACCGTATTCTATTATATGTCTGGAATTTGAAATGATTCCTTTATTACTACTACTTCTCTAAAAATCCCGTTATCATCAAACGTGACTTACTCTTGATTTAAACTACATTTATAGTATAAGGTAATAAGTACATATCACTGACTGCAGCTATTTTTTTTTTAGATTTGTTGCCAGTTTGATTTCAAAAGGTTACCGGGCAATGGTGTGACTTGCCCATGGGGTGTAGCTCCTAAAAAAATTATTGAGAAAAATGTGGCAGAAAGGTAGGTTGCATTTACGATTGATCTACGAGGCATACAAGTAGCCTCCACTTGTATGTCGCGGAGTTTACCTACCCTCCTAGCTTAAACTATTATAATATAAAACTATCGGTATCGGGACATGGGACACAATAGAACAGTCACATGAGATCCATTTGTGAAAACAGATAAGTTGTGTGTTGCTTGTGTATATTGATTGCATCATAATTATTGCATCGTCATCCCTTTGCACTGTTATAAGCATTAAGCATCTTAGTGTTTTAATCGTATTGATGTCAAATTTCAGAATGTCTTTAGTCGTAGTTAATATTGTTATTGGAAACAGTATGCCAGAAGTTGTTGACGAGTTTATCTAGGACAATATGTCCGGCTAGGTAATTCCAACTTTAGATCGATAGATCCATCTCGGCTCGGCAGCGTTCGGGAGATTACGATACATCTTCTCGTCACGTATACCTCAAAAACTTGAAAACAAACAACCAGTGCGCGTTGCCGTGATTACATATGGCCGGCCATTTATCTCGAAGATTCGATAATCGACTGGGAAGAAAGGTTCTCGAGTTGTACCGATAAGCGATGACACTTTAACTTAACGGCACGAAGTCGATGAGTACAGGTGGCTCAGGACCGTGTTTTGTAGCACTCCTTGGGGGAAGCCTGTGTTCAGCAATGGATTTATGATGGGCTATTATACTGGTGAATGTTGTAGAAACCAACTAATATTTAATGAATTTAATCTGGGCTTTTACGTAGGTATAGTTAAGTTTCGTCGTCAGCCTGTTTAAAGCGACTGCTGAACATAGGTTTTTTTTTGAAAAAAGCACCAACCGACATGCGTTTCCGAAAAAGAGACCCACATTCACCATGCTGCGTAGGCTGGCCAGCGCGGAGCTGTTACCCCCGTATTGGTAATGCTGCTGTTGGTAATGACCAACAGCAGCATTACCAATACGGGGGTAACAGTAACAGCAGCATTTCTAATGAGTCTGTGGGATTTGGTTAGGTTATTATTGAATAGATTCCCGAAATTGGTCTATCGCTAAAACCTCGTCCGTCCGCGAGCAGTTTGCACCGCGTTCACCGCGTAAAGTTCACACATTTGTAGTAGGTACCTCCAAATGAACTTGACATTTATCTTCCAATTTCTATGCAAAAATTGCAAACTCCAATACATCTTTACTAGTAATAGTCCACAGCTGAACATTGATCTCTTCCATTGGTTAGTCGAAGCTTGGCAGGAGGATTGATGGTCGTACCGCGTTAGTCTTTGTCGTTGCAGTTGCTCGTCGGGCTAGATATTATATTACATTATATAATGATCACTCCATCATAGCTTTCCAAGCTGTTTTTATTTTTATTTTGACCGTTGCCAATACCCTTACCGTTACAGCCTATCATAAGCCAACGAATATAGGCTTCCCAAATAGTTTGCCTCATACGGGATATATTTGCCATTCTTGCCACGTTTGGCAGGCGGGTTGGCCGCCTCTTACGACACCTACAGAGTGATATGGGGTAGTAGATATTCTTGTAACCACCATTACACGGTAAATTACTGCATTTTCAGTAACTCCATAGTTATGGCTACTAAATGTTTGTTCCAGAGCATTCTTGTTACTAGATCAATGGCGTAAGAAGGCGCAATTATACCGCAGCAATGTGGTGCTTTTCCCGTTGGGCGACGACTTTCGTTACGATCGCGCAAACGAATGGGATAATCAGTATCAAAACTACGATGCACTGATTGAGTATATTAACAGCAAAGAGTCGTGGAACGCGGAGGTAATCTTTGTTTATTTAAATTCTTAATCAACAACCAATTAATCCATAAACGTACGAATATTAAGTTTGTGAAATTTTGTGAAGATGTTTACATATATGAATAACTGACCCTTTGATGGTAACTGATATTGACCGTGGCCTTTTTATCGTAGACATGTACCAGCGCAGTATAAACAATAGATGCTTTTTTTAAAATTGAAATCATGGTGATAAACACGCACATGGTCTATCTTATAGTAGGTAGATGCAGTCGCATAAAGAAACGTAGATGTTATTTCACCCTGGACACCTTTTTTTTTTATAGGATAAGGGTGACAAAAGAGCACACAGTCCACCTGACGGTAAGTGGTTGCCGTGGCCCATAGACAACTACATCTATCCTCGTTTGCGAATCAAAATGCAGATGCGTTGTCACCCGTGAGGACTAAGATGGAATGCCTCATTTCCATTAAAACGGGTCTCCGGTTCTCTACACTCATCATACGAAACACAGCAGCGTTAAGCTGCTATTAAAATAGCAGCTTAACGCTGCTGGTATTCTGTGAGAGCGTGGTCCTTCCCCGGTCGAGCCGACCCATTCGTGCTACAACTATACTACTAATATAGCTGCAGCATGGCTCTACCACGTAAAACCTAAGTGGAATGCCTCGTTCTCCACAATAGAGAGCGAAGTATTCCACTTACGTACTCCCTATGTTGAGTATACGAAACATAGCAGCATTATGCTACTATTTTATAGACATCCTGTGAGAGCGTAGTTCCACTCCGGTGGAACCGGCCCTTTCGTTTTGTAACATAATAATGTCCTCCGGAAAGAATTTCGGTCACCGCGGGCAGTCTCAATGGATATGAAGAACTCCCCGGTCGAACCGACCCAGTCGTGCTACAGAATATAGCTGTAGCGTGGCTCTACCATGTAATATTGAATTGTCGATTTTATACGGTATCGAGACATGGGACACAATAGAACAGTCACATGAGATCCATTTGTGAAAACAGATAAGTTGTGTGTTGCTTGTGTATATTGATTTCATCTGTTATATGAACATAGATGCAGCTTTCTTTAAACCTTTCCCTGTCCCATGAATCATACATGAACATTTAAATTGTTTTACTATTGTGTCTATATCGCGGACAGGGAACCTTTTCATTAAGAATAATGATCTGTATTTGGTACGATATAAAGGTTATATTTCAATGCTTTAAGTCCAGTTGTTGTTAAGTTGTTAGACGGCTATAACACACTGAATATTGTAAAACATAATGCATACATAATAAATATATAAGATCAGGGCCGTTTAGACCATGCAAGGAACCTTCCTAAGATATCCAATAATTGAAGAATGATTATAAAGACCAAGAATTCAAATGTTATATTTTAAATGACTAATGGTTATTATAGTTATGCTTTTAATACAACTAGCGGTCCGACCCGGCTTCGCACATGTGATTTCTGGATATTTACATCAGCGCCACCTACTGGCTCCAATTGTGAATCTAAACCAACCAAAAACAAATCGCTCCATCAGTTTAGGCTTATGGAGCTTTATGGAGTTAAGTAAAATACACATGCACAGAAGAATTATACATATACATAAATGTGTTTTTAAATTGATTTAATCTATTGAATTATTAAAAAAGAATATAAATAAGTATATAGGTTTGGGCCTGGGTCCTTTTCCCATGTGCCTTTAGGTTAAAGACCGTACTGAATAAGATTGTTCTGAATTTAGGTGCAGTTTGGTACCCTCCAAGACTATTTTAAAGCAGTCCATGAGGAGGTGAAGATGTCTGACTTCCCGGTATTGTCGGGCGATTTCTTCACTTACGCGGACAGAAATCAACACTACTGGAGTGGTTACTATACTTCGAGACCATTTTATAAAAACATGGATCGAGTTCTCATGGCATACGTCAGGTCCGTATTATTGTATAAATGTAAATTTCGCTTATTGGCGTAAAATAATCCACAATCCTATATCATACTGTGGGTGTCGTAATTGGCTATAGAGGGAGTTGATGAAACAGAAGATGGGTGCAGCATCTTCATCATCCCGATAAAACTCAAAAGTCGGCAACCCGCCTGCCAACCTGCCTGTCTTAATGGAGACCAGCTATCTGCACAGGACAGGATTACATTACACGAGTGTTTGCACAAGCACAAATGCACTCTATTCCTTCACTCTCGTAGTCCGGACGGACGGTAAACCGACAAAATCAGAGAGTGATCAGGCACAGAAGCAACGGCTTTACGTGCTTCCAGGAGATGAAACGCCCCCATGCCTCTGAAACTGAACATTAGCTCTGATAATTTCATGATAGAAATCTTAATTAATAGAATGATTATTTGGCCCGATCTGGCATTCGAACCTGACCACTAGAACAACAAGACAGTCAATGAGACAATCTATGGGAGATGTCTATGTTTATAAGTCGACTTGTGAAAGGCTGTAATGAATGAGTAATGATAAAAACCTTTATAATGAAACTGTAAAGAGACTAATTTTGGACATGTGCCTCTTCTATATTAGGGGAGAATTTGCTAATACCGCCGTAATTGCCAGAAGAGAAATGTCAATATGACACTTCTCTTCGCATTGCAAGCAAATAAGTCGCCGCAGAACAATATCTTTTTCTGCACAAATGTTTGCTCTGGCTGGGATTAAAACCTACTACTACTAACTACTAACTAGACACTTGTCAATGTTTGTTGAGGAACATAATATATAATATTCCTTTTGTCTTTCTGTACAGAGCGGCAGAAATAATAACAGCACAAGCCAGCTCAAGCCGGGCGGTCAATTATATTATGTCGCTTCAGCTGAGAGACCGCGTGGAGCAAGCAAGACGTGCACTTTCTCTATTCCAGCACCACGACGGAGTCACGGGTACCTCGCGTGACGAAGTTAGGGAGGATTATGCTAAAAAGTAAGTATTTCGCACATGTTGCTGTAATATGAAAAAGTTATTCATTTCCATTACACTAGAGTAGTAGTGAATGTCGAAATACGGAAAAAAAATTAATTCTTGTGCGTTGGTAGATTTCATATTTAACATCGAAATTTGTAAGTTGTTTTTATTTTTAGAACCGTATTTACTACGTTGTTTAGCGCACAAGGTATAAGAAAACCCCACGACATAATCATCGAGAGGAGTTTAAACATATAAGGGTAACAAACGAACACATAGTCCACCTGATATTAAATGGATGTTAGGGCCCATTTACATTTAGAACTAACCTCAATCAAAAATCGAAATATAAATAAGTTGTAATCCTCCTTAGGATTCAATATTTTTGTTACAATACGAGGCTTAAGATGGATTTTTTGTTACCATACGAATGAGTACATATAGTTTTAACGTGGTGGAGCCAAAAATTTGTCTTATTACCAAGACTTAAAAAAAAAAAGAAGTTGTAAAAGCTATCAGAAATCAACATGAGAATACTAATTTGGGATTTGGTCATCATTCAAAGACATATTGAGGTCATTCAATCATTGTTTATAACATTGAATACATATTATGTTATATTTCTAGTCATTACACAAAGTCTTATGACATCTTCGATATGATCTTGTGGTCGATCAATCTTTGGCACTTTCATAGTAATAAAATTCTGCTGTTTCAGTTCTTTTCCGCTGTATGTCTTCCTCCTGAAATATAATAACGTTTTGGTTAAAACCAACACGCTTCGTTACTTCGTGTTTTGGGGGGGGGGGGGGGGGGGAATTATAAGATAATAATTGAAGAAAATAACTAAAATTTCTTATGTCATTTAAATAGTGACGTTATTACACGCGTGTGGCAAAGGCGTTCTCCAAGATCAGTTAAGATTTAATTAATAGAACATCCGCGCACCGGTACCGTCGACACGACATTAGCAACAGCTATCGAAGGCGGCAAGATTCTTATTGCATTTTTGACGTAATAATAGGCAAATTATAAATGCCTGGGGCACGCCTGTCCCGCGCGTGTAATGGAGTATTAACTAATAACACAAATACTTTGCAGAATGTTAACAGCTATAAAGTACAGTCAGTCGGCGATCCAACAAGCCGCTTACTTCCTCCTCAAGCAGCCGCCCATTCAAGAACAAACCCAAGAAGATATATACTTCCACGTGGACGACATCTGGCGGAAACACGATGAAATACCATCGAGACTCACAATAGCTTTGGATATCATGTCGCCATCGAGACGGCTGTTGTTTTATAACGCATTGGCATTTAGGAGGCATGAAGTTGTCACTGTTTTTGTGTCTTCGCCTCATGTTGAGGTGAGTTAACAGAGAAGAGAAAGCGAATGTGTGAGTGAGAAAGAAATACGCTTTGCTTGATTTGCTTGCTACACAAGCATTTTCTTAGGCGTATCTATCGCAACGTTTGTAAAGTTAAATGTTATTTTATCGTTATACACATAACAAAGCCAGCCAGCACCAGATGATCAAGTGTGAGCGCGAGGTTACTAGGTATTGCATAATAAAGTCCACAGCTGGTTATTAGTCCCCTTTAGATTACCACTAAGAACTGCCTTAAGCCAGGTACCACAGGTAACAACTTCTAACTGTCACCTTCGTTATTATTGCTATTTAAAAACATATATAGCGTTCGGGAAGCTAAGACACATCTTCTCGTCAGACATACCTCAAAACCTGAAAACGGAATTGTACAACCAGTGCGTGTTGCCAGTGATGACTTACGGAACTGAGACGTGGTCCTTCACTGCTGGCCGTATGAGGAAGCTCAAGGTCGCTCAGCGAGCTATGGAGAGGGCTATGCTCGGAGTTTCTCTGCGTGATAAACTTAGGAATGAGGATATCCGCAGTAGAACCAGAGTAACCGACATAGCCCAACGGATTAGTAAGCTGAAGTGGCAGTGGGCCGGCCATATAGCTCGAAGAACCGACAACCGATGGGGAAGAAAGGTTCTCGAGTGGCAGCCTCGTACCGGTAGGCGAAGTGTAGGGCGTCCCCCCACGAGATGGAGTGACGACCTGGTAAGACATGCATGAAGTCGATGGATGCAGGTGGCTCAGGACCGTGCTTTGTGGCATTCTTTGGGGGAGGCCTATGTTCAGCAGTGGACTTGTGAAGGGCTGTAATGATGATGATGATGAAAAACATATATCTGTCGAATAGCTTTTGTTGAGCTAAAGTCCAACAAATCTAAGAAATACCTTTTGACAGCTGTCAGATTTTGTGGAAAAGTTTCATGGACTAAAAAAATCGGTACCTCCAGTGTTTGAGTCTGAAGAGATATCAATATCGATTCCTTAGAGGTATTGAATTGAATAAAAAAGTTTATTGAATCTACAGATTATAAACTCATTGAAATGTTTTTGTGAATGTATGTTTAATTACCACTGGTTCCAAAACAAAAGCCTCTGTCCTAGGAAGAACGAGCAAGAAACCCAGCGGGTCTTTAAAAAATATTAGCTTATAATCATTTATGTTACACAATTAACAACACAAACCAAATTAGAAATAGCTTGGTAGCGATGACAACACAATCATACATTCCCAGGGGTTTATTATCATCCATAAATTGCTTAAGGTGGAAGCTCCAGGGAAGCCCGCGAAATTCAAATTTTCTTACGTTTTTTGCAATTTGCAGGTCAGTGTCAGGTTGTATGTTTAACAAAATATGATTCGCGACCGTAACGAGACCGTAGAGAGAACAGAATTATAATCATTATAATCATCAATACAACCGTCTATGTTCGTATAATTCCAATGTATGGCTATTTCCAGAAAAACTCATTCAAATTGATTATATAAACTTAAGGGTTGTATTGGTGATTTTGATGATAATAATTCTATAAACACATACTCGTTACGCAGAGAAACTCCGAGCATAGCCCTCTCCATAGCTCGCTGAGCGACCTTGAGCTTTCTCATACGGCCAGCAGTGAAGGACCACGTCTCAGTTCCGTAAGTCATCACTGGCAACACGCACTGGTTGTACAATTTCGTTTTAAGGTTTTGAGGTATGTCTGACGAGAAGATGTGTCGTAGCTTACCGAACGCTGCCCAGCCGAGTTGAATCCGTCGATTGACCTCTGCGTGATAAACTTAGGAATGAGGATATCCGCAGTAGAACCAGAGTAACCGACATAGCCCAACGGATTAGTAAGCTGAAGTGGCAGTGGGCCGGCCATATAGCTCAAAGAACCGACAACCGATGGGGAAGAAAGGTTCTCGAGTGGCGGCCTCGTACCGGTAGGCGAAGTGTAGGGCGTCCCCCCACGAGATGGAGTGACGACCTGGTAAGATATGCAGGAAGTCGATGGATGCAGGTGGCTCAGGACCGTGCTTTGTGGCATTCTTTGTGGGAGGCCTATGTTCAGCAGTGGACTTGTGAAGGGCTGTAATGATGATGATGATGATGATACTCGTTACGGTCGCGAATCAAATTTAATAAATATTCAACCTGACCCTGTTCTACAAAATCCAAAAAACGCAAGAAAATTTGAATTTCGCGGGCCACTTAATATTATTATAAGCCTTTTTATACAAACTTAGCTTAATTAAATTTTTGAACTTTGAACAGATCAAATTTTGTACGTTTTCTGGGATTTTGTTGTAAAAGCTTATACATCGCCCTAAGATTTAATTACTGACTTGGTGGAGTCGAGTAACTGGTACTACTAATTCGTGGGTTTACGTAAAAGGTGTGAGTATGCTCTAACAAAGATTTTTTGCGTGTGCGTGCACATGTGTGCGGTGCGTGTGCGTACGTGTGCGTGCGTGCGCGTGCTTGTGTGTGCGTGCGTGGGTGTGCGTGACCGTGCGTGTGCGTGCGTGAGCGTGCGTGCGCGAGTGTGCATGTTTGCGTATCCGTGCCCGAGCGCGTGTGTATGTGCGCGTGTTGTGGGTGCGTGCGCATGTGTGTGTGTGCTGCGTATCCGCGCGTGTTCGCGTGTGTACCTATGCTTGTGCGTGCGCGTGCCCGTGCGTGGATGTGCGTGTGCGTGCGTGTGTATGCACGTGTGCGAGTGCGCGCGTGGGTGCGTGAGTGCGATCGTGCGTGTATGTCTTGTGTCTGTGTGGTTGCTGTTGTTTTTGGAGTGCATTTTTAAGTGATTGTTGTGCATAATTTAATTTTGCAAGCCAGTCAATTTTTTTTAATTTATTAGTATTTAAAGAATATATCTTGAAATTATTCACCTTCCTGTATATATTATAAGCTGATTGCTTAGTATACTGATGACTAGCAAATTTACTTTTTACAATAGCTAGTTACTGTTTCATGCCTCTCAAATATGAAACGTTAAATGGCATTTCTTAGATTTGTTGCACTATAAGTCGGTACGCTTTACAATCTTCGGCTATATCATCACTTAAGAGCCTATACAATGTGTTCTGAGCGCAAGCGACACAGCTCTCCCGTTCAAAAGTCGAAGCGAGACTTAGTGGGGGTAGAATACTTCAAGACGCCGATAATTTAGGTAGTTTCTTTTTACAGTGAAAAAAATGGTAATTTAAAAATAATAAAAAACATAAGACCTGCTTTATAGTTAGTTCAGTTATTATGCAAAGTTTCATGATCTAATTTGAAGTATTTTTTGAAAACCAACAGCTTATTATTCGGTTTGGAGGTAACTTTGGATTTTCTATTGAGAAAATTTATTGGAATCGTGTTTTCGTCAAACGGAGTAGGTACTTAAAATTAATCCTTAACTTTACCATATATTTATTTCAAAAGTAACGCTGCAGTATTTTGGCATGACGGAGAATCATGTTTAGTCATTTGAAGTAGTATAGGCCCTTAACATCAGGTGGGAAGTCCTTGTATATTTAAAAAAAAAAGGTTATAATGGAGGTAATACCCTCCCCTATCTCATCCTTGAGATGTTATAGGAATCCACAAGACAAAAATAAATAAATAAAATAATGATATTTTTAACTCGTTTGCCATACATAGTAAAGAGTACCCTATCAAAGAAGTAAGTGAGCAGAGAATTAATTACCTTCACCCAGGTATTCGACTCGGAAGGCAATCCAATAATGGCGCAGATTTCCCCTGTGGTAGCGGGAGAGAAGCGGCTCGGTTTCGCCACCAACAAGTTCCAGCTTTCTTTCCCTGTCACGGTTGATCCCTTGGCTATCACCGTTTACTCTGTTTCACTTAGGGATGAAATGAGCATTAACAAGTAAGAAATTTTTAATTTTAAATTTAAGTTAGCAAGTAATAATATGTCACAATGAAATAAACTTCATCGTAATGATTTGTTATATTTACACGAATGCTGCACATTGAAAAAACGGACTTTATCACGGATTTTATCGCGTCTGTACTTATAATGAACTTTAAAAGTATAATATAAATTCATTGTTTTAAAACTAGTTCAATAAAGTCTTTTAAAAACTTTAATTTTAATCGTTATGAAAGACAAACGTGGTACGTGGTAGAGCCATGCCGCAGCTATATTATAGTGTAGCACGAATGGATCGGCACGACCTGAGAGGGACCACGCTCTCACAGAATACCAGCATAAAATATTAGTTACCGCTGCTGTGTTTCGTTTGGTGAGTGTAGAGAACCGGACACCCTTTTTATTGGAACCGAAGCCTCCCATCTTAGTCCGCACGGGTTACAACACATTTGCATTTTGATTCATAATCGAGGATAGATTTAGATGTCTATGGGTCACAGAAACCACTTACAATCTGGCCGACTGTGTGTTGGTTCTATGTGGTGGGGTGGCATATATTTTTCTCATACTTTGTCTGAGTTGGTACTACCTTCTTGCTTATTTTTACCGTCAAGGAACCGTGAAAAAGTACTGGAAAATTTTCTATACGCCTTCCCTCCGCCAGTGCTTACGTATGTTGGTGCCATCTAGTGGTAGACTCTCTTTCGCCACAGTTTTCAGTTATAAAATTATTTAATATGATATGATATTTAACCGGCCTGATGTCACTTCCACTATCTGTTTTATGTTTCTTTTTTAACGTTCTGTACTGCGGATATACCCATTATGGGTTCTATATCACACAGAGAAACTCCGAGCATTTTCATAACCAAAGTTAAAACAGTTTCGTCATGCAGCTCAACAATATTATGCGGCACAATTAATTAACTATGGGAACACTAGAGGGATTTTTCACTTCTGATCGGGAGCTCTTTTTTGCCGCGAATGCTCTCCGCGTGCCCGCCTTTTATTATTGCGGTGAGCGTTGTGCAGTTGATGGTCTCCCACGCGTGATAGAAGCGCGGTGATAGACTGCATGTTGTCGTCGCGTGCATGATATGCGCAGGGCTCCCCGCGTCTTCTATAACAGTACCTATCCAGAGGGACTCCTAGGCAGAAAGGAGGCCTACCACCTAGTCCTAGATCTTACATATCATAGTAAAAGTAAACTTACAGTTGCACTTCTAGACCCAGGCCTCCTCCATTTCTGAGAGAGTTTTAGTTTTTTTTTTTTTTTTATAGGAGAGGGGGCAAACGAGCATGCGGCTCACCTGATGGTAAGTGACTACCGCCGCCCATGAACAACCGCAACACCAGGGGAATTGCAGATGCGTTGCCGGCCTTTTAAAAAGGAGTAGGCTCTTTTCTTGAAGGTCCCTAAGTCGTATCGGTCCGGAAAAATCGCTGATGGTAATCGATTCCACAAGGAAGTCGTGCGAGGAAGAAAACATCTTCTAAATCGCACAGTGGTGGACCGCCAATCATCCAGATGGTGTGGATGGTATCGGGAGTTCTGCCGCGATGTGCGTTCATGAAATTTGGCGGCTGGGATTAATCCGAACAATTCCTCAGAGCACTCCCCATGGTAGATGCGAAAGAAAATGCAAAGAGATGCAACATCTCTTCGCAGTGCCAATGAATCGAGCCGATCGGAAAGGGCTCGGTCGTCGACGATTCGAGCCGCTCTGCGCTGGATGCGGTCAAGTGGAAGGAGCTGGCACTGGGGAGCCCCTGCCCAGAGATGGGAACAGTATTCCATGTGAGGCCGAACCTGCGCCTTGTAAAGTTGCAGGCAGTGTGCCGGCATGAAATACTGTCCCGCTCTGCTGAGCACGCCAAGCTTTTTAGAGGCCAATTTGGCGTTCTCTTCCAAGTGACCACGAAACTGCACGTCACTCGATATGTCGACTCCGAGGATACCGATACTGGCTGAGGCAAGAAGGGGAGTGCCTTGAAACTGAGGAGATACGACAAAGGGGTTCTTTTTAGCGGTAAACGCGCAAACTTGTGTCTTCTGAGGATTAAACTGGACTAGATTTAGTCGCCCCCAATCCGAGACTTTGTCCAGCAAAGACTCGACTTCAGACACAAGTTTGTTCCGGTACTCGGCGACGTTTTCCCGAGAAATATTGGCCCGGCCGGTGTATAGAGCATCACCAGTGCTGTCATCCGCATAGCAATGAATGTTACCAGTTAGCAACATATCATTGATATGCAGAAGAAACAGCGTTGGTGATAGCACACAGCCTTGTGGAACACCAGCGTTAATAGGCTTGTAGTCAGAACATGCACCGTCTACAACGACCTTGATGCTCCGATCTGCAAGGAAGCTGGTGATCCAATTGCACAATTTCTCGGGAAGCCCATAGGAAGGGAGCTTCGAAAGAAGCGCTTTGTGCCAAACCCGATCGAAGGCCTTCGCAATGTCCAGACTAACGGCCAACGCCTCCCCCTTGGACTCTACTGCCTCCGCCCATCTATGGGTCAGGTAGACTAGAAGATCACCAGCTGATCGACCCCGACGAAAACCGTATTGGCGGTCACTGATCAGCTGGTGATCCTCAAGGTACCGGATGAGCTGGCAGTTAATAATGGATTCCATTATTTTGGAGAACAAGGAGGTGATCGCGATAGGCCTATAGTTGGACGGGTCTGAGCGGTCGCCTTTTTTAGGGATCGGGTGGACAAAAGCTGTCTTCCATGAGTTCGGGACAACGCCATGGGAGTAGGAGTACCGGAAAAGACGCGTTAGAACCGGTGCCAACTCTGGAGCACACGTCCTCAGCACAATTGGGGGGATTCCGTCAGGCCCACTCGACTTGTGGATGTCAAGGGAGAGGAGTGCTCTGCGAACCGAGCGCTGTGAGAATAGCACATCCGGCATAGAGCACTCACACCGCGGGATGGTCGGCGGTGTATTCCCCCCGTCATCAACAGTCGAGTTGGACGCAAAAAGGGAGCCTAAAAGGTCGGCCTTCTCTTTTGCGTCGTGGGCCAGTGAGTCGTCCTCCCTGTGCAGAGATGGTAGTGATGGCTTACAGAAATTCCCTTGGACAGCCTTGGCGAGAGACCAGAATGCACGGGTTCCCGAAGGAAGGCGAACTAGTTTCTCGCCAATTCTGCCTATGTGCTCAGACTTTGCCTTGGCAATAACTCTTTTGAAGGACCTGGAGGCGAAGTTATACTTCTTTTTAAGTGTGCTGGTGTTTACATCCCGAGTCACCGAAGCCGCAGCCCAGGCTTGATAACACTCCTGCTTTCTGCGCAATGCAGTCTTACAGGAGCGACCAAACCAAGGCTGAGATCTGCCTCCAATGGGTACCACAGATGATGGAATAAATAGTTCCATTCCCTGTAGCACCACATCAGTGACAGAGTCAGCAACAGCGCTGGGATCATCCGGCGAGAAGCAAACACGCCCCCATGGGTAGGATGCAAAGAAAGACCGCATTCCGTCCCAATCCGCCGACCTGTAATGCCAAACACGGCGGCAACCTGCAGAACGCAACCGCGAAGGGAGCGTGAGTGGCACCATACTCCGGATCAGACAATGGTCCGAAGAGCCGAGAGGGGCATCGACGGAAACCTGATATCCGTCCGGATGAGAGGTCAGCAGAAGGTCCAACAGGGAAGGTGTATGATCCTCCACATCTGGAATCCGTGTAGGCGAAGTAACCAGTTGTGTCAGACCATATGCCAAAGCAAAGTCATAAACAGATCTCCCCGCATGATCGGTTAAACGTGAACCGAGCCATTCGGCATGGTGGGCGTTAAAATCGCCAAGGATCACGATCTCTGCGGATGGGACCTGTTGTAGCAAGGAATCTGTAGCCATTTGGACGTGGTCGATGAGTCGGTCTGTTTCGGCATTACCGCTATGGGACCTATAGAGGCACCCGTAGACGCGCGGATGGTCGTCGCTGTCTACGCGTAGCCAAAGGATGGACAGGTCCGAACCTTCAAGACTGCCGAGGCGTCGAGAACAGATGTCCTCTCTGACATACACGCAAACTCCAGCCCGAGGCACAAAGGAGTGCTCCAATTTGTACCCCGGGCAGGAGAGATACGAAATATCAGCCGGAGAGGAAACCTGCGTCTCGGTCAGAAAGAGCAAGGCCGGCTTCGCCGTCTCGAGATGGTAGTGGACGGCGTTTAGGTTAGAGTGAAGTCCCCTGATGTTGCAGAAATTCACGGATAGCGTGGCAGGGGTCGCCTTGGTATTGTTGCTCAGTTTGCCCCAAGCAGTTTTGTTTTTGAGCGGAATTTTGCCCCCCCCAGAATACGCGGGGCAGCCTGAGCACCCACGCTCAGGATTGGAATAACATGGTCGTGGATGCTCAGCGAGGGATTTTCCAGGGGTACTGGTACCCTCCTGGGGTAGTCTACTTTGTAATTCCGCTACCATGTTGATGGGGGGGGGGGGGGGGGGGAATTGGGCCTCCGGCCACCTGCACTCACCAGACGAAACGCAGAAGCAGAGCCTCTACTTCACGCCGGTATTCTGTGAGGTCGTGGTACCAACCCGGCTCGAGCCTGCCCATACGTGCAACAGCAAAAAAAACTGCTGCGGGGCTCTACCACCGTTAGTTTATGGAAGTGTCTACCGTGCTGCCTCTATGCATTTTGCGGACTTTACATGTTTTAAAAATGTTTATTTTTTTAATTTAACAGACATGCTAATTCCAATATTTCCCTTCCGTGCAGAGTATACGAGTTATCTTATAGTGAAAGCTCGTATTTGCCTGAGAATTTAAAATGTATAATAGTATATACATACTGGACACGTAAACCTTCTTCGCAGATACACGTCGTTCTCTCGAGTACGGATCTACAACGCGGACTACTGGAACGTGGACTTGCCCAAAATGTTCGTGATAGACCAGCCCACCGAGCGTCTAACGGAAGACGTAACGATGCGCGCCGGGGACAGTACGCGGGTGGTCGCCAACATGATCGGACTCATCAAGGCTATTGTCTCACCGGGTGGCGCTACGGTTCCCGTTCACATGGACTTTGTGCAGTAAGTTTCTCTTTGGGTGCTGATTAAAATAATTTTGATTAGATTTGACTGCCTCGTTGGTCTAGTGGCCGCTGATTATGAGGTCCTTAGTTTAAATCCCGGGTCGGGTCAAAATCATTTATTAGATTTTTCTGTCAAAATTCTCAGTTACAGCGAAGTCAGGTATTGTTTCACAGCCGTTTCTCATTACCGTTACATCGGACTACGAGAATGAGGGAATAGAATAATGCGTATACACTTGGTCTCCGTGAAATTTTGTCTGTAGGACATTATTATTATATGTGGTATAAAAGTAGTTTTCTCATCTAGTTGACCTTCGTATTGAGAAATGTTCATTAAATATAGTAAAATAAATAAATAAATTTAAACCCTCGCCAGGGGTGATCAAACGGCCTAGGGTTAAGGGAAAGGGAAAGAAACTTTATTAATATTATGCTTTTAACAATAATTTGTGAAATTGTGATCCATTTTTTTTGTAGGTACGACAGCCAGCGTGCTTTAGACAATAACAGTGGTGCATATCTGTTCATACCGTCGGGCCCTGCGGAGGTGTTCAAGCCGGATCAGTTCCCTGAGATAGTGATCACCGAAGGGCCATACAAGGCTTCGCTTTACACCGCTCTCGTCAGCCCTAAATCTGCCGAAATTATGCTCGCTGTAAGTTTATATTTTACTTCAGGGATCCTAGATTTGACTAATTTTCAGAAGAAATATTATATTTTCGGTCCAAACATGCTGTGATGATATACGTGTACGTGTGGTATCCAGTCCTATTTAGCTGACGATACAAAAAATAAACTAATTTTTTTATATAGAATCTTGGTTAGAATTTAATTTCTTTTGTCTTTCATGATCTTGTCATTTATTGATTTATTGTCAACTTCAATACTTAATAAAAGATATACTATACCTCCATGTTCGACGGTGAAGGGAAACATCGTGAGGAAACCTGCATGCCTGACAAATTAAAAAATATTTTATAGATATGTTAAATCCGCTATACGCATTAGGACAACCTGATGGGCACTTCCTGACTTAAAAAGCCCCTCAAAAATGAGGGCCTAAGGCTCGTTTATCTACTTGAAACTGGAATATATTTTTAATTTTATTTTTAAATCGACCTAGGTAACTGTACACAACAACCCGTCGCTGCCGCAAAGCGAAGTAGAAATCTCCAACACACTGCTAATTGATCCACAAGCTGACGATCTAGAGCTAGCCATGAGGTTCTCCACTGGCATCAAGAATGGTGACGTCTTCTACACAGACCTCAACGGAATGCAAGTATGTAGAGCTTACAAAACATTTTTTTATTGATAGTTTCGGGTTTAAACTATGGTTTAAGAGGGGTCCTTTTAATGAAAGAAATCCATCAGCCGTGGCGCCACAATCTTCGCGAAATTTACTATATTTTGCAGTAGAATCTGAGAAACAGATATATCCCAACGGATAAGTAAGCTGAACTGGCAATGATCTGGCCAAATAGCTCGAAGAACCGACAACTGGTGAAGAGGAGAGGTACTCGAGCCTCGTACCGGTAATGTGACCCCCATTAGATGGAGCGACGACCAGTTAAGTGATGCAAAGAATCGATGGATGTAGGTGGCTTGGGACGGTGAGGCTATGATGATGATGATGATGATTATTATTATGGTGACGAATTCTTTTGAACCAAGCCTAATGGTTAAAACAGTTATTAAAAAACCCGTTAAAACATTTACTGAAAAGATGGTGTGTGTAGAGAACCGGAGACCCTTTTTACTGGAAACGAGGCATTCCATCTTAGTCCTCACGTGTGACAACGCATCTGCATTTTGATTCGTAGTCGATAAAACATGTAGATGTCTATGGGCCACAGCAACCACTTACCATCAGGTGAACTGTGTGCTCGTTTGTTACACTTATCCTATAAAAAAAATGCAATATATGAATATGATATAGCCTATGTTACTTCCACAATTAAGACTAATCTAACGACATCTCATATATTAAAATCCATCATGCCAGTTAAGCTACAGAGCGTGCCAAAAGAATAGACATACATACATACATACTTTCAAAAAACATTACCCCTCCTGCTTGGGCAAACAGGTGAAAAATAGTTACATGTTTAGCTGCATCGCTGTGGGCCGCTTGTGCAAGTATCATACGGAACAAATATATATATGGCTTATGAATAATTATCAGAGGTTTGTAAGGATCGTGACACTTGGCGATCTGTTCTCTCTGGCTACCCCGTCAGGGATTGTGCGTGAAGATAAGTAAGTAAGTAAGTAAGTATGAATAATTATTCCAGTCTGGATGTTTGTCTATATGCAAAAGAACACTTCCATGGCACAGGAAAAGTCTAGTGTGACTAACATTTTGTTTAATAATTTCATAGTATAAAAACTCTTACAGATGATAAAGCGACGATACTTCGATAAGATCCCGCTGCAAGCCAACTTCTACCCGTTGCCAGGCGCCACCTACATCGAGGATGACAAGACTCGCTTCACGCTGTTGACATCTACGCCACTTGGCATGGCCGCCTTACAACCCGGACAAATTGAGGTATCTTCATTAGTGGATTTGTCCAATGCCGGTTTTCTATATTTAAACGCTTCGTTTTATTTTAGGAGTCGTTATGTAATAAATGAAGTATGTACATGACAACCCCTTTATACCAGTTCAAATATTTTTTTTCTAGTTTTTTCATTCAAAGTCATCTTAAGTTGCTGAATGAATAGTTTGTAATATAAACTGTTTTTACATGCACCTCGTATGTAATGAAAAGGGGCGTTACGTAGAACAAAACCTTTGAACATAGGAATTGGGCATAAATCAGCACGCTTTGACGCTGCTGGCCGTCGCCGATGTGGGGTATGTTACGCCTGAACATAAACACTATCAAGTTTACATTTCGTGACTAATTATAAATTGAAATTCATTGATTTATTTGTGAACATAATATACAGTAAGTTAGGTGTTAGTAAAATTTACAGTAGGTATCGTGTATTCTATATTATTTATAGTCAATAAAAGAAAAATGAAATACTTTTAAAATTGATTGCACATTATAAAAATACAATAATCATTTGTGTAGGTGGTATTAAATATTCACAAAAATGCTATATATTATAGGTGAAAAGCATCATGCAATGATACTGTTACGAGCTTGGGATTCGAGATAATTAAAAACCAAGAATTACCAAAATTGACTATTTAATTACACAACACTAATTACAATTTAAAATCACACTAATAATAAAACACAGTTCGCCGTTATTTCGCTTCAAAGTATTCTCTTGTATCGCCAATTCAATACTGCCCCGGTCGTGGTCTATACCGGCCTTATATAGGGTCTCAGATAGTTTCCAGAACCTTCTACTGTAGCGACATCTAGAATGTTCGAGTACATATCGGTCCCGAAATTTCTGGAGGGATCTCGACTCTCCTAGTTCTGCTACTCGACACTAGCGCTAGTGTAACTAGTGTTGCCATGTACAAGACACTAATAGGGGCGCGCAGCAATACCTATGACAAATAACACATTTATTAATTTTATTATTAAATATCCCCTCTATGAGCCAATCTATGGGTGCCATATATTTGCCATAGTTGCCTCGCTTGGCATGCGGTTTGGCAACCGCAATTTTTTTACTATAATTTTGAGCTGTTATCAAGAAGATGGTGCTGCCCATATCTTGTTTAAATTTTCCTCTGTTGCCTCTTACGACAACCACGAGAGATGATATGGTGCAGTGGAGTATGCACCATAGTGTATGGAGTATTCGTACACCAGAGGTATCCACAAACATGGCATGAAAACTTGATCAGAAAACAGAAATAAAATCTTGAAAATTTCATTATACTAAAAGTTTTGAATGAAATTGGTTTGGTGAAGATATCATTTCTTCTTGGGGTATGCGACACAAAATAGTTCCCAAACTTACGAACGTATACACAGCTTTCGAATGGGAAGTTAAAAAATAGAAATGTTATATTCACTAAAGCAACTGCACAATTTTCAGGTGATGCAGGACAGGAGATTGACCAGAGATGACAACCGAGGCCTCAACCAGGGCGTATTAGATAATGTGAGGACACGGCACACGTTCAAAGTGATAGTTGAAAGTGCTGTACCCTGTCAGGTAAATTACGTTTTCCATCAAAACATTTAATAATAAAAATCGTCTAGACTCACTTTAATTGTAGGGCATTAGGTAGGTTATGAGTTCTTCCCCTGGAACGAAAATAAATGATGCATTACAGGGTGTTTAGCCTATGTTTACTGCTAGTGACTACCATATAGTGAGTATAAGTTATGAATTTTGGCGGGAATTTTATCACCATCGGGCTGTTGCTCCTGTTTCATCATTTAAATTATGATCCTGTTTTATCGTTTAAAGCGGATTTTGATACATAAAAGTGGTGTGATTTAGTGTATTGATTGTTTGTCCTCAATACAGGTACAATTTTAATAAATTTAATTAATACAAAAGTATGAATACCGTTGTAAAATTATTTACGGTTGGTTATAAAGGCGGTGGTGGTGGTATAGATATTTGATATGAAGGGTAGGCTGAGCCGTTGTTTGATTCATACATGTACTGGATGTATTAAATGTCTGCACATGTGAAGATATTTGATATGAAGGGTAGGCTGAGCCGTTGTTTGATTCATACATGTACTGGATGTATTAAATGTCTGCACATGTGAACCATTATTAGTGGAAAAAATGTAACAAGTGCTTCGATGGCCTTGAGATATTACCGCTATGAATTGTCCAATGGGTTAAATTAGAAATCACCTAAGAATTCCACAATGTGACGCAAAAGTATATTAAGAGTTTAGTGAACAAAATACAAACCAGACTAGGCTGTATGGTCTAAGACTTTTGCCTGCCTTAAGTGGCGAATTGTGAAAATAAGGAAATGTAAATGTGTCGACAGCGTGGTTCCCCCGAACGTGGCAGCGGGCAGCTGTCGCTGGGCGCGCATGTAGCGCAGCAGATGCTGCTGCAGCCGCTCGTGGCGCTGCACCACGCGGCCAGCGAGAGCTCGCCGCGCCCGACCTACTCGCGCTCGCTGCTCAACGCGCCAGATGTCGTACTCGCCGCCTTCCACGGCCACGTATCCGCTAAGGTGAGTTTTTAAAATGAAACTGAAGTAACAAACGGACCAACAGTCCGCCTGATGATAAGTTGCTACTGCAGTCCTCGCACACGTGCACGGCCACAGATGCTTTACCACCTCTGAGCATCAAGATTGATCTCTAGACTGCTATTTGGCGGCATAAGTAGGTAAGAGGGTAGTTCTACCCAGACGAACTTCTTGAAAAAAAAAGTCCTACCGCTTGAATAACCGCTTAGCCTGGCAGACGGAAGACGTGGCCACTACGCTCCGTGTGTTGTGTATCTCAATATAGCTCCGAATTGATCGGATAACGATTTTCATTTTTTTTTCGGAGGTATCCATAACCATTACAGCCTAACTGTTCACTGATGTATATAGGCCTCATAAAATAACAAAATGCGGTTGACAATTTGCTTACCAAGCGTAGCAACCATAGATGCGCATTAACTCGTTAATTAATGAAGTTAACATTTCGACTAACGGATTAACTTATAACTTTAAAAAATGTTAACGGACTCCTTAACTTCCGTTAAATTTCCTCAAGTTCGTTAATCGTTAATCTAGTACCTACTGTTTACCAAGCAGCGCGCTGCCGCCACCGTTAAAAAAACACGTTCTGACAAGTAAATTCGGGCCGGTCGTCAAGTGCGGCGCAGCGAGTGCCGCGAGTCAAATGAAACTAGGTAAAACCGATTTAACGGTTTAAACCGGTTTTTTGCCAATTGTTATTTTCAAAAAAGCATTTTTTTTAAATATTCCTTGATGAAATACATATTTAAAAAATCTTATGACTTTTTAAGATAAAGTTAAGATTTTCAGAGCTATGAATTTTTAAATGTTTGAAAAATCCCAAATTAATCCAAAATATATATAGAAAAATAATAAAATGTTAAAGATATTTTTTTTATATTCGTCTGATTGCAGGACAAAGACGGCAAATTACTGCACGGAATGGGCGTTACCTTGCAACGGGTTCACTTGGACATGTGTTACGGCAACAAAACTATCGCCACTTCGTACCCCGTAGGAGACGGTCAGGTACGGAATTTTGGTACACTATCACAGCAATGAGATTAAGACTACAATTAATCCACTTATATTACGGCTAAAAATCGGAAGTGCGCAACACCCAAGTTTAGACGGCTACTACTAGGTGCAGCCGATTGCGGTAGGTTAAACTTAGGTGTACTGTAAATTTTTTTTAAATACGGAAATACGTATCAACATATCATACATATCGGTAGTAGGCTAGCGGGTAGCGATAATATCAGCGGTTGCATAACCGCAGACATTTATCTAATTTGTATATATACAAATTAGATAAATGTTTTTACGACACGTTTAACCAACAGCAATCGGCTGCATCTAGTAGTGGTCGGTTAAACCTAAGTGTAACAGCACCTTGGCTTTTAGCCGTAACATATACGTACATTATTTTGTTCTTTAATTTTGATTCGACCTTACGGTGATCTTTTTTCATTGTATAGAAGCTTTGGAGTTGTACCAGAGGTCTCACTTCTTTAACGCTGCATCCCCTCGCCGGTGTGGATATTTTACGTAAAGAGGTGGTTATACCGCCATGTACCGGAAGCCATGAGATCTGTCTAGCTTTTACCGCCGGGCAAAACCATCGTTTCGGATCTCTACTACCTACAACTAATGAGACTCAAGCAAGCAATTGAGAAAAAAAACGGCCGGAATCGATCAACAGAAAAGGAGTGGTCTTTCATTATGACAATGCCAGACCACACTCATCTTTGGCCACTCAGTAAAAATTGAGAGAGCTTGGTTGGGAAGTGCTAATGCATCCACCATATAGTTCTGGCTTTGCACCCTCAGATTTTCATCTGTTTCGATCTCTTCAGAATTCTTTGGGTAGTGTGAGGCATCAAGACAGGACTGTCAAACTACTTGTCACATTTTTTTTGTTTAAAAAATCCCAAGATACCCTTCTGTTAAGCGATACCCACGGGACGAAATCCCTATCACAACACCGCAAACAGTGATATGTTTCTTGTTTTTACAGATTCGGATATCCGACTTGTTCGAAGTGGCACCGGATCGTGTGTACGACACCTCCCTGACGTTCGTTAACGTACGGAACCCGGTACCGGACGGTATTGTGACGCTTTGCCCCATGGAAATACGGTCCGTGTTTATTAATCAAACATTGAAACACGGCTAAGAGAAAGCTGCTTACTTTTCGATGGAGGAAGTGATTGCCAATAAGCTATTTGTATAGAGATATTATAAATAAAAGGGTGCTTATGCTATATGCTTATGTTTCACATAAACTTAATTCTTAAAACCAAACACTTATTTCGTCTCTGCCATTTTAATCCGTCCATGACAATATGGTCAGAGAAAGTTTTCAATTATAGTTTCATGAGATTACTATTTGCGATTTTGGATGGATTAACACATAAAATATAAACTTCAACTGTTTAATTATACTTTCACTCATCAATAACCCCTACCACAATTACAATAAAGTCTTCTATTGCTTAACAAAGTTGAGTATTTCTCATGGTGTAATGATATAGATTTTAGCTTGGAATCACAGAGACAAATACTTACAAAAAACTTCTCTAAGCGACCTACGTTAATCGAGTTTCTTTACCACCCTCGATTACATCACTTTGGTCACTTACTAGATCTTTCTGCCGCCAAAGAGCAGTGCTTGCATGGCTGTATTCGGGGTATAGAGAACCACTATGATTATAGGCTATGAAGCATTCCATAGATTATAGTATCCACTAGATATTAGGTGGGTTATTAGTTCGTTTATTTCATATTTATTAAAAAAAATATGTTACTTCTGTTTATAATATTTCTATGACTAACTGACTGAATGCAATGTTAATAATGTAGTGACTGCGTCTGTGTAAGTATTGACGCACTGGCGGCTTAAGAACGGGCGTATATATTTTGGATCGGCTGGTTCGACTCATAGTATCGTATCATTATCAGTATCATTAGATGATTATCAAAGATCCCCGGCGTGGATACGATCACACTCCTTTTCATTTAAATAATGCGTAATTTTTTAAATATTTTGTGTGTGTTTTGTTTGACATTCCTTCATTGTATCTTGTCAAAAGTCACAGGCGCTCTCACTTACTTTATCTCATTTTGCCACAGTTGTGGCAACTTTGCCATATCATAGCAGGCGGGGTGGATGCGGCATTTTGTTATTATTTTCAGTTGTTATCAGTAAGGGGCTGCTGCCTATCTCCTGGGCGATATGATATAATTTTTATGGATTTTTATGTCGCCAGTACACAGTGCATAATTATTAATTAATTAATTAATATATTCTCTTAGTATTCATGGAACGCGTGTGTTGGTATTTTAGTTGTGATTTAAAAACGTTTTTCTCTTTACTAGATAACGATGACAATTGTTTAAGGCGATTGTTTATATGGTATCTGTTATTTTTTTTTAATAGGAGAGGGGGCAAACGAGCATGCGGCTTACCTGATGGTAAGTGACTACCGACGCCCATGAACAACCGCAACACCAGGGGAATTGCAGATGCGTTGAGTTGTTAGTGAATTATTTTACACCGCTACTATACGGTGATGTTTTTGACGTGTAATTACAGTCCAATGCATTAATATGGTTAACTGCCTTTATATAATTTTGTCGTCTCGACTTTTTCTATGTGTGACTGTCACGACCTTGGAACGAAAACCTTATGGCGCGTAGCATTTGGTGCGTAGATATTTTTTTTAAATATGTTTCGCTTACTTTAATAGTTTTTAACGTTGAATAGAAAAATAATTACTGTTTGTTATTTTTCACTTACACGTACGTAAATTGTATACAATCTTTAGTTGCGGACATCTTTGTGACACTAATTGAGAGAAAAATTCAAAACATGCATGCATGATGAAACATGTGATTTTTTGTATGTAGTACATGAATTAAAATATATAATTGCACCATTACACGAAATATAATTTAACAGGCCTAACCTTTGTATGGCTAGATTCAATGCCAGCCCGGACCATAAGTGTAACGAAATGGTTGGTTATTTATGAGTCTTTCAAGTATTAATATCAAACACAATGAATTTAAAGCAATATGAATTTCTAAAGTCGTTTCTCATAAAGTACAAGTATTTATTTGACTGATTATGGTAGGTACATATCTTAAGAAACTAAACTTCAAATTAAGAACTAAATGAAAATAAAGAACTATATAAAAATATTGTGATAAATGTAGATATTTTAGTATTTACAGCGATGTCTCGAAACATTCTTGTGTCCTAATGATTTCTTATATTTACGCGAACACTACACATTGAATAAAACTATTTTTACGGATTCTATCGCGTTTAATTAAGTTATTTTATATTCCCGACGTTTCGATTTAGACGGTAACAATAGAGATTCCTTTATTGTTTACCGTGTTTACATTTTATTAGGTTATTTTTCAAAGAGTAGCCAAATTTTAAAATAAAGTTTAATTATATTATATAAATGACAATTAATTAAAATAATGTATTACGACGCATTTTGAATTTAAAAGATAAAAATAACAGTTTTTGAGATATTGTTTAATTAATTTTTATTCACCATTTGCCTATGTTACTTATTCTGAACTTTCTCTGCAAATTTATTACTACAAAATAACCCTGTATAACGCTGCTACTGACATGACATGATCTCTAGCGTTAGTTTCGTAATAATCGTTAAATTTTATTATTATATTGTATACAAAACTAGGTTTTTTAGTTATTGTAAAACTATAATCAGCCAACGATCCTATTTTTTTTTAATGCGCTAATATTGAATGTAACAATATCTAGGACAATGGACATAAACATTATTGGACTAATAAGTAAAATTTAGTTAGAATTCAAATAAAATTGTTAAAATGCTGAAAGGTTTACTTATTCAACACATTATAGTACTAGTCATATATAGCACTTATAGTTGACTAGAAACAACAAACGACCGAGGTAAATTTTTTAACAAGGTTATGAACCGGCAACGCATCTGCAATTCCCTCCCTGGTGTTGCAGTTGTTCATGGGCGGCGGTAGTCACTTACCATCAGGTGAGCCGCATGCTCGTTTGCCCCCTCCTATAAAAAAAAAGGAATACTGGGCTGGGTCATATTGTCAATACAATATAATTTTGAACATGGGCTGTCGGGAGTGCAATGCTGGCACATCAAAAATATCATTATATTGTAAGCACGATAAAAATGTGAAATTATGTAAATATTGCATATGCTAATGATAGATAAATATCACTGGGGGGGTCATCCAACTATTAAATGATCTCATTGCTCTACTTATTGCATCTGTAAAAACTGCTATAATTTTACATGTTAAGGCTTGTCAAATGTACGTACAGCTGTAGCTGGACGTTTGGTTTTTTACGACGAAAAATTTACAGATCGACTGTTCTGTTTTTGGCAACATATTTTGGATGTAATATGTAAGACGCATCAAGTGTTATGTATTTTATTTAACAATATTATAAGTACTTTGTTTGTAAATATATTTTTATTAATAATAGTTTTTTTTTTATTTTCCTAGAAGAACAAATTTATAAACACTACAGAAGGTGACAAGAGTAGTAAAGTTTTTAGTATCAAGCGTCTTGTCTATGTCCTTTGGAATCAGACGGACGGTAAAACTAAGAAAATGCTAGTCTTTATCGAGATAAGACCGGACATAGTTTGTAGGAAGAAATATCTCGATTTTAAATCCATTTGCCAATAATGTGAAACATATTATATTCCCTGATTTCAAGTTAATCAGCGTAAAATAAAAATGGAATTCAATGTCTATCAGCATAAAGCATCAAAGACCAGTCGCCGGACACAGAACACGAACAGAATATACTCAAGTAAGTTAGTTATTTTATTAATATTACATATAACAAGGTAAGTATATTATTTTTGCTTAATCTTTTATCATGCGGTAGGTTTATATGTGCCATTAGCGGAGGTTACCTCACCATCCCGCCCGTTATGGAGCAAGCAACGTCCGTCTACTCGCGATCATGTTCAGGATGCTATTGCTTCCCACACCAAACGCATTCGTGTAAAAGCAATCCACTCGAAAGACATTGCAAGCTTTTCTTTCTGTACGTCTAACCCCAGGCTCTTCGTGATAAATTATGTGCAGAAATAACTGAATAGAGTGATTTTTAACTTCCTGAGAACACCGTCCAAACCTTCGAACCAGCATGTTCGCTCTTACTGACAACGCCGTTCGTTCCCTCTCTATGTCGAGTTTAGTAAAATATCACTTGTCTTTTTATGGGTATATTTTATGAGCCGTGTAGTGGCGGTGTAAGAATATCCACTACCACATATTATCCCGTGTCGTAAGAGGCGACAGAGGGAAACAAATCAGATAAGCAGTAGCGTGTTCCTAGTAACGACTAAAAATTAAAAAAAACTGCAGTTGCCAGCTCACAGCAGTGGACTCTAATAGACTGTAACGTTAACGGCTTTTTATGGAAAGCAGAAGGGTATATTATCAATACGTGATAGCGGCGCATCACGCTTGGGCTTATGCTATAGATCGCCGCGAGGGGGCATACTTGCTAGTGGCCACGCTCAGTAGGGGGTGGCAAACGCAGTTTTTTTATTAGGAAGATGCTGCCCTTCATGATTCATTTTACTTTGTCGCCTATAATGACATGGGATAGGAGAAAGGTGTTTTATTAAAAATATAACACCAATATAAAATTATGAAAGTGTATACAAATAAAGTTGAAATAAAATACGCAAACTTCATTCGTCATTTTTTATTCTAACTGATTTAGGTACTAATGCGAAAATTATACGTTGCTACTTGTAAGGAATTAATAATAAATACAATGCATCAAATAAATTAATGTCCACACTGATGTATCACAGCACTTGTGTCCTACTACTTGACAAAGGCAAATCAAAACACTTCAAGGAAATACAATAATTACTTCTTTGTTGTTAAATTGATAAAAACAATACTTAATAATATTATTAGCAATACTGGGCTTCCACAACTATTACTATTTTGACATATCTCATGGCAGGCTAAATTAAATTGTTACAAAGTGTAAATATTATGCCTCTTACTGATTTATTTGTTGCATTACGTAAACCTTAACGGCAGATGCTACGCTTGGTCACTTGGTCACACTGCTTGTGCGAAAAGTCCTTTTAGCTTTTTATTTTTAATCTTAATTTTTTTACGTGAATGAGCCGCGCTGCAGATATGATTGTAGTACGAATGGGTCAGCTCGACTGGGGTACGACGACGCTGTCACAGAATACCAGCGTAAAATAGCAGCATAACTCTGCTGTGTTTCGTATGGTGAGTGTAAAGAACCGGAGACCCTATTTACTGAAAACGAGGCATTCCATCTTAGTCCTCAGAGGTGACAACGCATCTGCATTTTGATTTTTAATTGAGGATCAATGTAGATGTTTATGGGCCACAGCATCCAGCAGCACTACTTACCATCAGGTGGACTGTGTGCTCTTTTGTCACCCTATTGTATAAAAAAAATCTACAGACTCTCAGATGTTGAAAGTATTTCGTAGAGAGTGCACTCGTGCTTGCGCACAGTCTATCAGTTATCATAATTTTACTATTATTTTACGGCTGAACAAAATACATTTTAAACATTACACTGATATAGCACGATTTCGATCGATTATACTTGTATTATAAATTTATTTAAAATGTATAATCATGTTTACATATACAATCGGCGAGTACATTTAATAATTGCATTACTTCAGTATCAACCTCTAGGTTATCGCGAACCGACTGTGAACACTAATACTTCTGACCACACAGCGAATTAGTAAGTTGGCGTCACAAATGGCAATGGGCCGACAATATAGCTCGAAAAACCTTTGGGAAGTAAATCTTGATGGGCGGCCCACCAGTACATGGAATGATACCAGGTAAGATATGCAAGACGGATATAGGTGACTAGGAACCGTGTTTTGAGACATTCGAGAGAGAGAGACTCTCGACCCATATTCATTAGTGGGCTTGTAATGGACTGTAATGAGAATGACGATGATAATTATACTATGATATAAGGGCCCTTTTCCCAATGAGTTTAAAATTTATATAATTCAAGGTTTTAAATATTATTTAAACCATTGCCCTTAAAAAAATATATAACTGCTTATTAAATAAATTAAGATATTGCAGTGTTTACGAGAAAATCTAAGTAAATTTAGTACGAGTAAACTAGTAAAAATGCTCGTAACGTCTTTGTAAATCTCAACGTATTGATTATACTCTTGACAACTGATATTGTGTGATAATTGATTTTGAGTTCTTATTTAATTGGGCTGTAAGAAATATTTAAACACATTCCCAAGGGCAAAATAATTCACCATAAATAGCTGCCATACTAAAAGCGGTTAGAAATAAATGAATGCTATATGGTTTACCCGGCCCTCAGTTAATTTCATAGACAAATCTCATTAGTATTTTCTACCGACTTTAAAAAGGAGACGGTACTCAATTCTACCGTATGTTTTTTTTTATGTGTGTTACCTCATAACTTTTTTCTGGCGGAACCGATTCCGATGATTCTTTTTTTATTTGAAAGCAGGTGTTTCAGATAAAAAAGTATCATCGGAAAGTCGGTTGTACAAAATTTTAAATTATGTATTTTCTTATCCTAATATAAAATCTTACAATCAATAAGCAGTTTACATAAGTTATTTGGTCAAACAAACACCCAACCTTAAAAAAAAATTAAGATCTCATTTTACATGTCTGTATAGTAATTAACAATGACATAAATAAAACTACAAACAAGCAACAAAAAAAGATGAAACAAATTTGTCTTATAACTAAATACCAGCAATAAAAATACTAAATAACAAAGGTATAAAAACACCAGAATGGGATTAAAAGTAAGTTGATATCGTTTGTATTAATATTTTCAAAATTCTGTACAAGTAATTATCTAACGGTCTTATTCATAAAAAAGTTTTATCTGCAGGTTTTACAAAAAGTCAAAAACATGGCCATGTTGTACCAACTCATATTCCGCAGGCATTCACACAGCTAAGAACTCCTACTGGAACGGTTAGAAAATACTCACTGTGTCCAATAGATACGTGGGCGCAGCATCAAATGTGGAAAATACATCTAGTATGGCATTCGATTCGCCAAGTGTGGCGATTAAGCGTATGTAGTTTTTACTAAATGAGACCGTAGTAATACAAAGCAATACTGTTGTTATTTAGGTTATCCATAGACAATACTGTTTAAAATAGATGTCTTATTGTATGTTGATTACTAACTAAAATTATAAAAAAATTAAGAAGCTATGGCAACATTTCCCAATCGTTGTGACTGAAACTTTAAATACAATAAAATAAACACCTCAATACAATAAATAACTTTGAGTTCAGTCTATTTTTTTTTTGCTAAAGTAATAACTGTTGTGTGTAGAGCGTAGTGACATCTCTATTTATTTATGTAATTTATTTTTCTTGATTTAAGAACAAATTACGCAACATTATAAGCATAATTCATTATTATCATATTCTTGATTTCGGAAAAGCATAGCTAATGTTTTTACGATATTACTTAATATTTTAATATGAAACTCAGAACTAAATCATTTAAATTTACAAGAAAAAATATTATTTCAAATTTTAAAAGAAACTTGCTTTGCAACATTAACCTTTATAAGTGTGTAAAAAAACATGGTTCATTTTATCAATCAGATTCCACTTTGATGTACGATTAACTATTAATTACTGTACTACGAACATTCTGTAGTCTAATTGTTTGAATGAACAATACAATACAATAATTGTTCTGAACATAGCTGACGACTAGTCGTAAATTCCCTTTTTGCTAGACTGTCGACGACATAAATAACACTGCAAATATTTATAATAATTGGATTTTCTACATTCTCTTATAATTAACATCCAGCTTTAAAATTAATATAATCTTGCGTTATTTGAATAGCAATTTTTATTATATTTCTTATTGCATTTACGAAAATGACGAAACGAATAAAGGGTATATTGTATATGAATTTATTATGTACAAGAAACAGGGTTAGGTAGCAAATCTTAATAAAAAAAAACTGTCAGTCGCAAGACTGCACGCCATAAGTAAAAAGCTAGCTTCACAAACTTGTAAACATTATTTTTGGGTTGTTAAGAATAATTTTTTAGGAAGCTTTTTTAATAGAAATTACTTTTATTAACGTATTAATATAGTAACAATTTTTCATTTGTTGCGCTGTTTTATAAGGGAAAGAATGATTATTATAATTTATAAATACATATAAATTTTATAAAATTAAATCAATTGGATTTTTTTCAACATTACTGTCAATCAACTTTATGTCTCTGAGCGTGATGGTCACGCGAGTTCAGTGCTTTTATCCCATCCCAGAAGTGCCCAACGAGCCTAAAGAAGTTTTCAATTTAAAAAATTATTAAGCCGTCCAATGAGAAGTGTAACTTCACCATACCCACTAAGTAAATGGCACTGATATATATTTTCTTTCAACAATAAACGTTGAATGCAAATTGCACCAAATATAGCTCTGTAGACCCTGCACCACGACAATAAGAAACAAATTATAACCTAGACGAGACCCTTACGTTAAACATGAAAACTGCATTGTCTCGGCCAAACTGAACGTTCATAGCGGGCAGCACGGAGCTGACCAGTTGACGGCAATTATTCATTGTAGCTGGTACAACTTCAAATAGCATTTCCTTTTCCCTGAAACAGAATCGTAGAGTTGAGGAATAAACTTTTCAGAATTACTACTGCTATAGTGAGTTGCAAGTAGGTTGGCACCGTGAAAAATGACATAAATAAAATGATGTTGTTAATCTCAAAATTTCAATCAACAATGTAATTTTGAACCCTTTTTACTAAAATATAAAAAAAATAGTTGTAAATATAAATGTTATTAATTAAGCATAAATTTTTTTATAGGATAGGGTGATAAACTAGCACACAGTCCACCTGATGGCAAGTGGTTGCTGTGAACCGTAGACATCTACATTTATCCTCAATAAAGAATCAAAATACAGATGCATCGTCACCCGTGAGGACTGAAGTGGAACGCCTCTTACAGTAAAACGGGTCTCCGGTTATCTACACTCATCATAGGAAACACAGCAGCGTTAAGCTGCTATTTTACGCTGGTATTCTGTGAGAGCGTGTTCCTTCCCCAGTAAAGCCGACCCGTTCGTGTTACAACTATAATACTAATATAGCTGCAGCCTTTCTCTACCACGTGAAAATAGTAGTATAATGTTATTTTACGCTAGTAGAGAACCGGCTGGAAAAAGAGTCTTACCTAAAAATGATTTTTAAAAGTAGCACGTCAAGAAAAATTTAAAAATTTGCTTTTTCATATAATTTTACAATTAAAAATGGTTTTTCTAAAATGTAAATCTAAACGCCAGTGACGTATTTACATCGTTTTAGTAACGCCACCGCATGGTAAAATGATAAAACACTCATGTATAGCTCGTTTTTTGTTTCAAATATTTAATAATTTTTTATAAATAATTACTAATAAATGGAATTGTTAATAAAAAAATTATTTAAATATACTTTAAAAGAATTGTTATTCTTTAATGTATATATAAATTTGTGGCACAAAAATTATGTATTTTCACACAAATGTATTTCGGGCTGAACTCAAACCCAAGCTCCATATAGAGCAGGCAGGTGCCTTTATATTAACAGGTGTCAGTAATAATGTGTAGCAAATGACTCACTTTTTGTGTCGTATAAGTGCGCCAGCAAGCACTAGCCCTTGCAAGCAATTAGCCGTTGCTTCTAGGCTGAGGCAGTATGGATGGAGACCGCTTGCTTCCACTCGCTGTTGGATCAGCTTCAGTAATTGTTTGTTTTCACATCTCTCTTTCTATAATTTTAAAATGAAATGATATTAAGTGTTTTTGTATGTGTTTTTCTGGGCACTAGTCACTAATTTCTGAGAGGATTCTAGAGCACATGCCCTCGAATTAGACATGAGTAACTCAGTGAAATTTTGCACACAGCTGTCAACTCAGCCATATGTCACAATAAAACTTTGTGACGAGTATCTAAAATAAAATGTGGAAAAGAAAGATCACCTATCACCATCACTTCAGGGATTTCAGGGAGTTTCAATTTATAAAAATAATATAAAATAAGGTTCGTGCAATACCAGAAGTGTTCAATAACACTCCTCTACATTATGTGGGCAACTCAACACTTTAATACCTCGAATTTCCCGGCCCTGCGCTGTGCGCCAACATGTTTTGAAATGTGAGTTAACACATTCGGCGCAGTGAACCGAGTTGGCGCAATTGCGCACCGCTGCGCAGTGTTACATATTGTCTCTCAAATTCTTGGAATAGCCTAATGCTTACCCAAGAATGCGTTAGCTAACAAGCATTTTTGTAGGATTTCCATTAGGTGACAGCGTTCCCTTTCTGCCTAGGACTACGTGTGGATAGAAACTACCCAAACTTCACTTTAATTTTATAAAAAAAAACAGCCCACACCCTATGCTGAAGCGGGAGAAAGATGAGTGCAGAGATGTCTGTCTGTGAAATGTAGGTTTTTCTAGCATCAGTTGGTCACCAGCCTCGTCCCCCTATTGGGGTTGGCATTGCAATAGGTAAAGTAAACACCGGCTTAGAAAACTAAAAACATTAAAATATTTTCCACATTAGCTTTTGAAGTTGTGCTAAAATAGTGTAACGAAGGATGAAAGCCCCGACTTTAGAAACAATTATGTGCAAATTATTTCATTCTATTTAGTGTTATAAGTCGGTATTACTTTTTATTAAAAGTTTAATTTTATAAGGAATATCACATACAAACTAACAACTAGAATGTCATGTTCAGAACAGAACAAGGAAGATAAAATAAGGCTCCTTAGAACTATTACAAATATATTTCTGATACAGTAATTACAGTAGGTACAATTCGGTTGTGTGCGCTATATGTAAGATATTTAATGTTTTTGAACTAGTTGTAACAAACGTAGACTACTTATATATATTTCAATTGCACCGGAAGTATAAACTCACAATTATTATAAACCAATTATCTATGGATTGTACAATTATAGATTATACATTATTTATACCACAGATGATAATGTATGTATATTCGTATAAATGAAAGTTTATATGAGACCACCCCTAAAGTATTAACCTACTTGGTTTATACATTTAAACCATAGGTGAACATATATAAAAAATACTCAAAGAATATAGAACCTTCCCGTTTTTTTAAACTGGGTTAAATTTTGGCCTTGAGCCGACCACATCATCTCGTAATTACCGTAAGAGGCGCCAGTGGGAAACTGAAACAAGAGATGGCACAGCATCTTCCTGATAACAAATAAAAATAATAAAAATATCTATGGTTACCAGCCTGCCAAGTGTGACAACTGTGGCAAAATCCCTGTATGAGGAATCTATGGGGGAGGCCTATACATGTATTATCAAAATGTTTTAATTTTCTTGCATAACTTAATAAAAGTGAGTGTTTTGTCAATTCTTACCTCAATCATGACATCTTGACACACCATCAACGTTGTGAGAGCTGGATACACGGACCATTTCAACAAAAACTGCAACTTCTCCGCGTCGCCAACTGTCAACGCGTTTTCGTTTTCAACAATTATATTGTTCCGTATGCAGTACTCAATGGCATTATTAAATATCTGAAAAAAATATGTACAAATGAAAAATGGAAAAAAAATACTGGATTAAATATTTAAAGAAACGGTTTGCTTCGTCTTTGATAATACAAGGCATAGAGAGTGGCATAATTTGCCTTCGTCTGTCTTTACGTCCGATTACAATCTGGGCGTCTTCAAGGTAAGAGTGAATAGGCTTTTGTTACCCTAAGACAGTGCGAGCTATCTATCTATGGATTCATCACCACTTACCACCAGGGTCAGGTCAAAAATTTGGTGCACTTACGACGCGATGCACACATCAACGTGAGCTATTTCACTGTGAGTAATTTCACTTCATCTGAGCTAAGTATGTAGTTTCCCAGATGAGTATTACGTTAACGCATTAAGGGTCCACAATCAGTTAGGATAGGCAGTGCAATCACATAACATTCATATTCACTTCTCTACATAATATAAAACAAAGTCTCTTCCCACCGTCTGTACGCTTACATCTTTTAAACTACGCAACGGATTTTAATGCATCATCATCATCATCGTCATTACAGCCCTTCACAAGTCCACTGCTGAACATAGGCCTCCCCCAAAGAATGCCACAAAGCACGGTCCTGAGCCACCTGCATCCATCGACTTCCTGCATGTCTTACCAGGTCGTCACTCCATCTCGTGGGGGGACGCCCTACACTTCGCCTACCGGTACGAGGCTGCCACTCGAGAACCTTTCTTCCCCATCGGTTGTCGGTTCTTCACAAAAACTCTCCGATCACACTCTTAATCTCATGGCTGTTAGACGGGAGATGAAGCTACATTCTTCAACAGACTTGACAGCATACAGGCATCTGAACAGATAGATCTCCAAATGCATGCGGCGGGACTTACGCAACTTCAATACAGCTCGTATTGAAGAAGCGATAGAGCGGAACCAAGGCTCCAAAGTCTTTGCCAGAGATCTGTCTGCCAGAAAGAGCCAACTGTCAAAGCTGAAGACGGAATGTGGCAGCATCGTTTCCGGGACACCTGAGATTTTGAGTGAGATTGAGAGGTTCTATGGGCAGCTGTACACGTCATCGTTGGAGCCACACGCAAGTGTGAGTAACGATCCAAGAGCGAGTCTCATCCGACACTATTCCGAAGATATCTCGGACGTCAGTCTGAGCGAGATTAGAATGGCTCTCCAGCACCTTAAAAACGGTAAGGCCCCAGGCGAGGATGGAATTACAGCGGAGCTTCTGAAAGCGGGTGGAAGACCGGTACTTTAAGTCCTTCAGAAGCTCTTTAATTCCGTCCTCCATGGTGGCATTACACCGGAGGCGTGGAGCAGAAGTGCGGTGGTCTTGTTCTTCAAGAAAGGTGACAACGCTCTCTTGAAGAACTACAGACCGATTTCCCTTCTGAGCCGCGTCTACGTGCTGTTTTCGAGAGTCATTACGAATCGTCTCGCGCGCAGACTTGACGATTTCCAGCCTCCCGAACAAGCCGGTTTCCGAAAGGGCTTTAGCACCATAGACCACATACATACCCTTCGGCAAGTTTTTTTTTTTTTTTTTTATAGGAGAGGGGGCAAACGAGCATGCGGCTCACCTGATGGTAAGTGACTACCGCCGCCCATGAACAACCGCAACACCAGGGGAATTGCAGATGCGTTGCCGGCCTTTTAAAAAGGAGTAGGCTCTTTTCTTGAAGGACCCTAAGTCGTATCGGTCCGGAAAAATCCCTGGTGGTAAACTATTCCACAAGGAAGTTGTGCGAGGAAGAAAACATCTTCTAAATCGCACAGTGGTGGACCGCCAATCATCCAGATGGTGTGGATGGTATCGGGAGTTCTGCCGCGATGTGCGTTCGTGAAATTTGGCGGCTGGGATTAATCCGAACAATTCCTCAGAGCACTCCCCATGGTAGATGCGAAAGAAAATGCAAAGAGATGCAACATCTCTTCGCAGTGCCAATGAATCGAGCCGATCGGAAAGGGCTCGGTCGTCGACGATTCGAGCCGCTCTGCGCTGGATGCGGTCAAGTGGAAGGAGCTGGCACTGGGGAGCCCCTGCCCAGAGATGGGAACAGTATTCCATGTGAGGCCGAACCTGCGCCTTGTAAAGTTGCAGGCGGTGTGCCGGCATGAAATACTGTCCCGCTCTGCTGAGCACGCCAAGCTTTTTAGAGGCCAATTTGGCCTTCTCTTCCAAGTGACCACGAAACTGCACGTCACTCGATATGTCGACTCCGAGGATACCGATACTGGCTGAGGCAAGAAGGGGAGTGCCTTGAAACTGAGGAGATACGACAAAGGGGTTCTTTTTAGCGGTAAACGCGCAAACTTGTGTCTTCTGAGGATTAAACTGGACTAGATTTAGTCGCCCCCAATCCGAGACTTTGTCCAGCAAAGACTCGACTTCAGACACAAGTTTGTTCCGGTACTCGGCGACGTTTTCCCGAGAAATATTGGCCCGGCCGGTGTATAGAGCATCACCAGTGCTGTCATCCGCATAGCAATGAATGTTACCAGTTAGCAACATATCATTGATATGCAGAAGAAACAGCGTTGGTGATAGCACACAGCCTTGTGGAACACCAGCGTTAATAGGCTTGTAGTCAGAACATGCACCGTCTACAACGACCTTGATGCTCCGATCTGCAAGAAAGCTGGTGATCCAATTGCACAATTTCTCGGGAAGCCCATAGGAAGGCAGCTTTGAAAGAAGCGCTTTGTGCCAAACCCGATCAAAGGCCTTCGCAATGTCCAGACTAACGGCCAACGCCTCCCCCTTGGACTCTACTGCCTCCGCCCATCTATGGGTCAGGTAGACAAGAAGATCACCAGCTGATCGACACCGACGAAAACCGTATTGGCGGTCACTAATCAGCTGGTGATCCTCAAGGTACCGGATGAGCTGGCAGTTAATAATGGATTCCATTATTTTGGAGAACAAGGAGGTGATCGCGATAGGCCTATAGTTGGACGGGTCTGAGCGGTCGCCTTTTTTAGGGATCGGGTGGACAAAAGCTGTCTTCCATGAGTTCGGGACTACGCCTTGGGAGTAGGAGTACCGGAAAAGACGCGTTAGGACCGGTGCCAACTCCGGAGCACACGTCCTCAGCACAATTGGGGGGATTCCATCAGGCCCACTCGACTTCTGGATGTCCAGGGAGAGCAGTGCTTTGCGAACCGAGCGTTGTGAGAACAGCACATCCGGCATGGAGCACTCACACCGCGGGATGGTCGGCGGTGTTTTCCCCCCGTCATCAAGAGTCGAGTTGGACGCAAAAAGGGAGCCTAAAAGGTCGGCTTTGTCTTTTGCGTCATGGGCCAGTGAGTCATCATCCCTGTGCAGAGATGGTAGTGATGGCTTACAGAAATTCCCTTGGACAGCCAAGTTGTACAGAAGTCCGAAGAGTACAATTTGCCACTATGTCTGGCGTATGTGGACTATGAGAAAGCCTTTGATTCCGTCGAAATTTGGGCGGTGCTGCAGTCCCTTCAGCGGTGCCAAGTTGAATGTCGGTATATCGAAGTGTTGAAATGCTTGTACAGTAGGGCTACGATGGCTATCCGAGTACAGAACCAGAGTACGAAACCTATCCAATTGCAGAGAGGTGTAAGACAGGGTGACGTCATATCCCCGAAACTCTTCACCGCTGCATTGGAAGACGTTTTCAAGCTTCTGGACTGGAAAGGATACGGTATCAACATCAATGGCGAGTACATCACTCACCTTCGATTTGCCGACGATATAGTCCTTATGGCAGAATCGCTGGAGGACCTAAGCACTATGCTCAATGACCTCAATAGTGCTTCCCAACGGATAGGTCTTACGATGAACATGGACAAAACAAAGATCATGTTTAATGTCCATATCACACCTATGCCGGTAGTTGTTGGGAGCACTAAGCTCGAAGTTGTTGACGAGTATGTTTACCTGGGACAAATAGTCCGACTAGGTAAGTCCAAGTTCGACCGAGAGGTCAATCGACGGATTCAACTCGGCTGGGCAGCGTTCGGGAAGCTACGACACATCTTCTCGTCAGACATACCTCAAAACCTTAAAACGAAATTGTACAACCAGTGCGTGTTGCCAGTGATGACTTACGGAACTGAGACGTGGTCCTTCACCGCTGGCCGTATGAGGAAGCTCAAGGTCGCTCAGCGAGCTATGGAGAGGGCTCGGAGTTTCTCTGCGTGATAAACTTAGGAATGAGGATATCCGCAGTAGAACCAGAATAACCGACATAGCCCAACGAATTAGTAAGCTGAAGTGGCAGTGGGCCGGCCATATAGCTCGAAGAACCGATTTTAATGCAGTTTCCATAAATAGGCAGAATGATTCAAGAGGAAAGTTTATATGTATAATACATGCATATTATATATTATATCATTCTTCTGTCCATGTGTATGTGACTGAACTCCTAAACGGCTGGACCGATTTTGATTAAATTTTGTGTGTGTGATTAAGCTGATTAGAAAATGATTTAGACCCGGTAGGTGGCGTTGTTGTCGAGATCGAGAAATCAACGGTGCGACATCGAGGCGGTTCGCTAGTTTTTTATAAAATTGAATGATGACTGTACATTCCACCTGATATTAAGTGGCTGCTGATGGGCACGGACACCAGTCCATGGTAGGACAAGTCTGTGCTAAGAGATAGTGTATCACAACTTATTATTATTAATTACTATCTATCTTTTTAACGTGGTAGAGCCTTGCTGCTGCTATATTAGTAGTATTGTTGTAGCACGAATGGGTCGACTCGACCGGGGAAGGACCACGCTCTCACAGAATACCAGAGTAAAATAACAGCTTAAAACTGCTGTGTTTCGTATGGTGAGTGTAGAGAACCGGAGACCCTTTTTACTGGAAAAGAGGCATTCCATCTTAGTCCTCACCGGTGACAACGCATCTGCATTTTGATATGCAAACGAGGATAAATGTAGATGTCTATGGGCCACAGCAACCACTTACTATCAGGTGGACTGTGTGCTCGTTTGTCACCCTATCCTATAAAAAATATTCATGTGGAAAAAATATTTCTGAGATATGCAAAGTTCGTCACCCACGCATTGGGGCGGTGCGGCGTACATTTCCTTGCCCTAAAACCCTCTCAGAAATGAGAGGAGGCCTGTGCCCAGCAGTGGGACGTATATAGGCTGTATAACTTTAACTTTTATCATGTGGAAATTATTATTTTTTAGTTCTTCAAAAATTGGTTGCTACTTCTTATTTAGTTAAAATTTCTTACTCAATTATTTTAGTTTTTATACTTACATCTTTTTCAGTCCGATCGATGTGAAAAAATTCATGCTTTAACAATTTTCTTAACAAATGGTAATCAGTGGCCAGTTTCTCTGAAATAAAATAATATGCTTTAATTAGAACCATTGCAATAGAATTAAAATGTAAATTATTTAAAATACAGACACTATTAAAACTAGCTGACATTAGAACCAACAAACTGCATGAGATGTGGGTCTTTATTGCAGTCAATGGCAACGAGGCATCCATGACTTTCTCTGCCACCAGGGTGGCTCAACTTAAAAAGATTTTATAACGAGCATGTTAATTTGTTCGAAAAATGAAAAGTTTTATGTTTCTTTCTGTACTATTGTATATTTTATTGTAATTAGGTTAAAAATAAATAAACGAAACTATACTAGAATTATTTTGTCCGTGCGGTTATGGGTCATAAATCATCGTAGTATTTCGCTCTCTCTCCCAGTCACGGGCTTTAGGGGCGAGCATAGTGATGCGCATTATTGTTGTAGATAAGCGTTATCGATAGTGTATTTAGTTTTGTCATTATGTGGGTTAGTGATAAAAATGAAAAAAAAAAAAAAAAAAAAACAACGTATTTATTAAAATAAGAATAATAATTATTTAAAATAAATTATTAATTATACCTAATTAATAATTTATTTTAAATCATTATTATTCTATGTAATAAAAAAACTATTAGTACAAATGTTTGGAATGTAACAAGTTATATTAAAAATATATATAAACAAATATAAATATAATAACTTATATCTAAAATTAAATCTAAAACTATTTACATTAAAATTCTACATCAGAATCATCAGAGTCATCGTCATCCACATGAATTACGATCTCTCTCGTCTACCAGATGAGATTTCTTCAAGTCTTCCTCTTGGAGTTTTTCTGCATGCTTCACACAATCTTCCCAGTTCTTTTGCGAAACGTTTGAAATTGCTTCAAGCAGTAACACTACGACGTCTGCAATTTTAAAAGTGCTGTTTTTGGTGGCAACTTCATTTTTTGCTTGAGCCCATACCAACTCAATTGGGTTATATTGGCAATGGTAAAGTGGTAAGCGCTTGTGCTGGTATATTGGTGCCAACAGGCAAAATATTATTTTGAATAATTTCTGCCATTTTGATACAAAACAAAGGAGTAGCCATTGTGTCACTAAAGAAATTCAGAGAGCGAATGCGCAAAAACAAATTTCTCTTCGATATATGTACTAAATTATCATTGCACTAATTTGCAGGTATTAGGCGGGGGTAATAATGGAAAACAAATGACTCATAACATAATATTTTATATAATAATTAATGACCCCAACTGCACGGACAAAATAATTTTACTATAGAGATATTCATAAAAGTAGATAAATTAAAAGAAATTGTTAAAAATGTGCAAAAAATTAAAGAGCACACCACTGAGGAATTGTTTTATGAATTAATATAATACTCTAGAAATTGTTAAACTTTTATTTAAAACTAACTTCTCAATTAAATGACATTGTGTAACACAAAACTTCACCTCAGTGTCAACCAGCGACATCTGGTGAGTGGAAGATTATTAGTCCTCATGTTTTCATTACTTGTACTAAATATCAATCAGCAAACAAATTAAATTATTTCTTAAAATTATAATATTTCTACGTACCCCTAATAATGATCCCTCTTTTAACGATAACATAAACAAGCGCAGGCGGCACTATGTGGTGTAATACTGGGTTTATATACATTTGTAGTTGTATAATGGGTATTGCATATGCCATTGTCTCTGCACTTAGAATATGACCTGAAAAAAAACCACAAAGAGAATAAAAAGCTGATATTATTACTACCATACAATAATATAATATACAGGGTTATTTTTCAAAGAGTATCCAAATTTTATATTTCACTTCAATTATATGAATAAATGATACACCGTTATTTCAGTTTTTGAAAATACAAGTAAATAAGGCTTTTACTTTTATTTGAAATTATCCCAAATTGAATGTGATTTATGGGCAACAACTACGCGTACGCGCGCTCCTCTGTGTGCGATTCAATTCACTACGCTTTGCTGACCGAGCGACCCTTAGGAATGTGTGCATGCGTAGTAAAATAGTAGGCGTTAGATATTTACGAATGATTTTCAGAATTTTAAAGATAAAAAGGACAGAATGTATGAGATTTTTTTATTCATTTTTCTTCACTATTTGCCTATATTACTTGTTATGAACCTTTTATGCAGATTTGGGTCTATATAGCAAAATAACCCTGTATCGTCGTGAAATGAAAATTTCGATCACCATCCGCAGCAAATAAATGAAAATATTAATCGTAATTTTAATGGTTTACCACAGGTAATGAAGGAAAATATCGTGAGGAAACCATTACATATTACTATATTGTACTAAACATTTTTGTAATATAAAGGTGAAATTCATCAACATTATACTATTTCTGATAAAATGAAAGAAGACCAACGCCCTGTTTCCCAGTGGGAAGGTGGCTTTTGTAGACTTAACCTTAAACAATTAAGTTTTTTTGGGAGAAAATCCGCATTTGAGACTTTATGTTATTAAAACTAAGACAAAATTGGTCTGTCGAACAAGTTAATTCTCCAGAGCTTCCTATTAGTGGGAAGGCTCATGATCGGCAGTGGACATTTACAGCCGGAAGAAGAAACAAGGGAAACTTTGGCGATAGAAGATTAACACGAAATATAAAGATAAAATATGCGACTATGTAGTACAATCAAATGGAATGTTACAAATAGCGTCACTCTTAGTCAAAATAATTTTAATGGCATACATTTAATTTAAATATTACCTAAATAATGATTATGAAATGGAATATATGTGAAGGTAAATCTACACAAATAAATAAATTTCAAGTGTCTGTTTGTAAAACAACAGATTTTTACTAATTGCATATGAAAGTATATACGATAACGATACATATGACAAAATCACAATTTTTAAAATTTTGTCTGACTTTTGAGTGGCAGAGAATGCTAACTGGCATTAAGTACGTCCGTCCTTTGTATAACCTTTGTGGTTAGAGCAATAAAGTTTTTAAATAAAAATAAATATTATATTAATTATAAATAAACTATTATTGCCGGCTGTTAATGTTTATTCGCTTGATTAACGGTTACTTAAATATCTCTATATCTGTCTCTTTCTATTGTCATTTATTTAAAAGAGAGAGAGAGCGAGAGCAAATTTAAACATTTCTTAATTGACGTCGGTTATGATAACTAAGAACCCAAATAAATAAATATCGTATACAAACAAATTTTATTGTTGAATTTGTAGTTTATAAACAATAAGAAAAATTTATACAATCAGACATCAGAAATATCAGAATATCAGCGTGAAGTAGAGATTTACCTCTGCATTTGCAGGGTTTTTTCTGTTTTATTTTTTATGATGTATGGGGTATATTTATTTATTAGTTTAATAACACTTCTTAATGATTAAATTGATATTTCATGGAAAAACGCAATATGACAAAAACGAGTATTTATGCTATTTCATCGCGATTCTGTTAATTTTGTATTGGTATGGGTACTAATTAAAGAGTGATTTTAACATTTAAACATACAAATTTTAATCGCCTCGACCTGTGTATTTCTCTAGATGAAATTGTGTAAAAATTTAAAAAACCGACCTTTCATTTTCGCCTTGACTTCATTAGAAACCTCCATTAAGTCGCCAGCCACAAGCCGCAACCGCCTTTCTCTGTCCATTGACACCATTTGGTGATGTACCACCAAGATCCTTTGTAGACTCTTCTTAACATCGCTCTCGTACACAGATGCCCCTAGCCCATTTAGTACTCCTACCATCCATTCTAGTTCTTCCAAAAAGCGATCAAGATCTAGCGCTTCACTTCTGACTAAACAATCCATCAACACTAATGCTAGTAAATTTGATATGGTTGCCACAACGATGTTTTGCTGCAAAGATACAACTTCGTGCGCAACATCTTGGACTTGTGATTGCTGTTCAGGTGTCAATTGCTGCAGGCTTACGGGCTTCGACGAATCGCTCGTTACAAAGTTTTGATTTCCTAAATACTCTTTAAGTGATATTTCTGTTCCGATATTTACGTAAATATATCCGAAATGATCGTTTAAACTTCGTAGAGCTTTGAGAAGGCCCTGGAAAAGAACACGGAAATTAGTCAGTTTATATTAGTTACTAGCGATCCGCCCCGACTTCACGCGGGTTTTTTCTGGATGTGACAATAGATTCACAATTGGACCCGGTAGGTGGTAGTGCCAATTGTGAATCTAAACCATTTTGGAATCTACTTAATCACACACAAAATTTCATCTAAATCGGTACAGCCGTTTAGGAGTTCAGTCAGAATCCTCTATAGACAATACTGTCAGGAGAATTGTATATGTTTAGAAGATGGAAGGTACAGACGGAAGCGACTTTGTTTTATACCATGTAGAAATACTTATATACTTTAAAGTCAGTGTATTGAGCTAGGTGATGTTCTAATAGTTAAAAAACTACGCAACTGAATTTGATTACTTTAAAACTACTAGATCTTTTAAGATGTAAGCGTACAGACGACGGGAAGCGACTTGGTTTTATACTATGTAGATATAATTTAGTAGTAAGTAACGACGCGTCTAAATGCCGAATTTAACAACCCTTAACAAGTTTAATAAACACGTTTTTGTTTCGCTTTATATCGCATAAATAGAAACAGCAAGCTCCAATCAGTCATGAATCTATCTTGAGAAAGGTATAACGGCCCATTCCCAACTCCATACTCACCAAAAGGCGGATAAAATATAATTTTAGAAGCACCCAATCCTTAAGTAAAAAGAAAAGATTTTTTGTATGAAATTTTCAGAACTTAATCATTGTATTATGAAGAGACGAACACAAATTTCCAGCGATAATGACAAGAGCATGCGACGCGATAAAAACGATAACGCAAACTAACATGTTTTTTTTTTTAAATAAGTCTTTGAATGGAAATGGGAGAATCATATTAGGCCGATAAGCGTGGTAAGCGCTAAGCGCCATATGCATGCTGAACTAGCAAGTGATTGGTTAAAACTTGTCATAGCTGACAAAAAATCGGTGCCGAATAAATATGAACAATTCTATATAAAATGTTCTGCAATTAGAAGACTCGTTTTTTTATTCGTTCCGACATCGAAGGTCCAACAAGATGGAACGGGGCGTAGAGGTTACAAAAGGTATATGCAGATGACAAGTAGCGTTTCAATAATCTATCATGCGATATATCGCCGATGTATCAAGTACCTGTAGATATTATTTACATTTTGACCGTGAACTTTGATATAATAGTGTTAACAGATTGTATGATTTCAACACACCACCTGTTATTTTTCAATTTACCAAATGCAAATAATAACAGCATTTAGTCATTTGTATGCTTTAAGTAATCAGTTGCAGTCGGACATGTTTAAATAAAATTTTTCATTTATCGGCATAATACACGCGCTACTTGATAATTTTAAATATAAATACACACCGCGATATATGACGAAGGTGAACGCCGCGAGAAATTCCGCACAATCGAAAAATATTGACATACGAGAAATATTAAAGGTGTAACTTTTAATATTCCTCTCTTACGGATATATGGTATAGCATGTTGGTTAGCGGTTAGTAAATCGTAACGGGGATAGCCATGACTTTCTACATTCGTTAACGCAAAGAGAAAAGAAAAAAAAAATGAAACAAAAAAATGTTAAGTTCTTAACGACCTTGTACTAGTTACGGTGACTGTTTCGTTAGTCTGGTGACCGTTCAAATCCCTGTTCGGACTGAAAAGTTATTGGGTTTTTAGGTCATGAAATTCCCAATTACAGGCCGGAATCAAGAATTTGCCAATGTTTCACCACCGTGACTTGGAAAGCACGTAAAGCCGATGGTAATGTGCCTTTTTTATAGAATAAGGGTGACAAACGAGCACACTGTCCACCTGATGGTAAGTGGTTGCTGTGACCCATAGACATCTACATCCATTTTCGTTTGCGAATTAAAATGCAGATGCGTTGTTACTTGTCAGCCGTGAAGACTAAGATGGAATGCCTCTTTTCTAGTAAAAAGAGTCTCCGGTTCTCTACATTCACCATACGAAACACAGCAGCTTTTACGCTGGTATTCTGTGAAAGCGTGGTCCTAACCCGGTAGAGCCGACCCATTCGTGCCCCGATAATGTCGGACTCGAAGAGTCTTACGTACTATTGTGGTATACGTATTCTTTTTAAATTGAAGTTACGAACGTGGTTACAGTGCGCTTGATTGTAAGTGGCTACTGCGATCCATGGACACCAGCAACCAACTTCGAACTAAGAAGGCTAGAGTTATGTTGTCAACGCTGAAAATTAATATGGAATGCCTCACAGTCCATACTGGCTCTCTATCTTTAAACAAGAACACAGCAGTGCACGCATCGCTGCTTTGCGTTACAAAGAGGTAAGAGGGTGGTTGGTACCTACCCAGACTCCTGAGTCACCTCTTCTGCCAGCAGAAGTGTTCTACCACTTAGAATGTACCCTACAAACTAGGTGGTAGCTATATGTCGGCGCTCGGTATCACTGAATAGATGAACAGTTACTTTTAATCTTGACTACTTCGTTGGTTTAATGGTTGTAAACGAGACTGTTGATCATGAGGTCCCGGGTTTGAATCCCGAGTCGGGCCAAAAATCTTGGTTATTGAGTTTTTTTGTCCAGAAATTCTCAGTAGCAGCCCGGAGTCAGAAAGGTGACGGTATTTCACTCCCGTGCCTCGGAAAGCATGTAAAGCCGTTGGTCCTGCGCCTGATATCTCTCCGGTCGTGCCGGTTTACCTTCCCATCGGGCTGTGCTTGCGCATACACTTGGGTACTATAATCCTGTCCTGCGGCAATGGCTAGTCTACGTTGAGGCTGGCCGAAGTGATCGAAATTCGGTCTGGAGGATATTACTTTTAATCTTGGGGCGCTGTTTCAGTCAATTTCAAATATTTACTCACCCCAGTTGTTTCCTTAGGCTTGGGCACACCGATGTGTTCGTACGCGAATAAGGTCTGCTCCACGATACGGTCGTAACTTAAGTTGACGGGCACGATCGTTATGTCGGGAACCTCGCCCGTGAAGTACGGTACCAGGCTCATCGACAGTATACCTGTCATTGAACATTTCAAACTTTAACGTTCAATCACCACAAACATATAATCAGACATTTTCGTCTACTGCTGGACATTTCAGCTATTCAGTAAACCTAATCAAAAGTCCACGTACCATGTAGTGGCGGTGAAATATCCACACATAGGTATATTCTCATATCATCCCGTGGGTGTAGTAAGAGACGACAGAGGGAAACAAGTCAGGAGATGGGCAACAGCGTCTTCCTAATAACGACTAAAAATAAAAAAACTGCGGTTTCCAACCCGCTTGCCAAGCGTGGCAACTATGGCAAATATGCCCCCTATGAAGCAATCTAAGGGGGAGGCCTATGTTCAACAGTGGACTTTATTAGGCTGTAACGGTAACGGTAAAAGTCCCTTTCCTATAGATTGCTTCATAAGAGCAATATTTGCCAAGTCAGTTTAAAACCGTGCGTTTCTTATTATTTTGATCTGTTATCAGATGCCGCTGCCCATACCCTGTTTCAATTCCCCTCTGTCGATGATATAGGTTAGAGGATTCTAGACTCGTGCAACTGACTTCGAACAAAGAAGACCACCGATGCGTTGACACCTCTTAGGATCATCCGCTTATAAGCGGTCAGCCACCGCAGTCTACTTCACCGTATTATCAACGGTGGTGTGATTTTCCTAATGTAGTGGTGTTGGGATATTGCACGCAGACGAGGGAGAGCGGAAGATGCCCTTCAAACTAGGTAAGACACATAATTTTTATTTTATTATGCGGATCGAAGTAAATAAATTTTTTACAACTATAAGCAATATATAAATAGTATGCTTGTAGTTTATTTGTACTATGTGTATAAGAGAGCGGCTCGCCGGGTGATGCCGTGTGACGGCGTCAGAGCATCCGTCAACCCATTTCGCCTCGTATGTGTCAAAGGAGGCGACCATACAACGAGGCAGGTCCATGTCCATTTTGACTTTTTCTATAGGAAAAGGGTGACAAAAGAGCTCACAGTCCACCTGATGTAAGTCGTTACTGTCGCCCATAGACATCTACATCTATTCTCGATTACGAATTAAAATGCAGATGCGTTGTCACCCGTGAGGAGTAAGATGGAATGGCTCGTATCTAGTAAAATGTTATATACGTGGTAGAGCCATGCTGCAACTATCTCGGCTCTCAGCTCGGGGGAACCGCGCTGTCTACACATTTACATTTTCTTATTTTCACAATTCGCCACTTAAGGCAGGGAAAGGTCTTAGACCATACAGCCTAGTCTGGTTTATATTTTATTCACAAAACTCTTAGGCGTCGCGTCTTCATAATACTATACGTGGTAGAGCTATGCTGCTGCTATATTAGTAGTATAGTTGTAACACGAATGGGTCGGCTCGACCGGGGAAAGACCACGCTCTCACAGAATACCAGCGTAAAATGGCAGCTTGACACTGCTATGTTTCGTATGATGAGTGTAGAGAACCGGAGACCCATTTTACTGGTAAAGAGGCATTCCATCTTAGTCCTCACGGGTGACGACGCATATTTTTGATTCTTTATTGAGAATAAATGTAGATGTCTATGGGTCACAGCAACCACTTATCATCAGGTGGACTTTGCTCGTTTATCCCCCTATCCTATAAAAATGTTCTCTACACTCACCATACGAAAACACAGCAGCGTTGAGCTGCAATTTTACGCTGGTATTGTGTGAGAGCGCGGTCCTTTCCCGGCCGAGCCGACTCCTTCGTGCTACTACTATACTACTAATATAGCTGCAGCATGGCTCTACCACGTAAATAAACCAATAAAAAGGAAAAACCACCGTTTCAAATGAAAATAATAAAAATTTCTCATGCTAATGATAGGGGATAGTGAAATATCTTAGACTGACATTAATCGGCGTTTTTACTAATTAACTGTAAACAAAATTGAGTTGTGCTGATCTTTTTCCTCTTGGAATAAATGGAACAGACCCAAATTAAAATATGGCCAAGTCATCGATAACTGATAAACTAACATTTTTTTATCTTTGTCGTCAAGTTTAAAAATCAAATGTTTCTGATATTGAGTAAGATAAATATGAGTTGATTATAAATGCGGCTTAGGACACACTGTTTACCTTTTTAAATTGACGTTTACGACGCGCGTTTTATATTATTTACTGAATCTACTATTAGTTTAAAACTTGTTCAGAATGATTGAAATTCTTAAAGCTAGGTTAAATACGTTTAACAGTAAACCAGCGTAACATAGCTGACCTCAATTGTGTCTCACAACAAATAGGGCTTAAAATAAATATGGACAAAACAAAACTCATGTTAACGTACATGTCACACCTACGCCCGTAGTTGTTTAGAGCACTACGCTCGAAGTTGTTGACGGTTATGTGTACCTAGGACAAATAGTCCGACTAGATAAGTCCAACTTCGACCGTGAGGTCAACCGACGAATCCAAATCGACTGGGCAGCGTTTGGGGGATTACGACACATCTCGTCACGTACGATATACCTAAACTGACCATTTATTTTTTAATTCAAAACGGGACATGGGTTTATTTATACACTCCAGTTAGCAGGTTAACAATAAACACAACTTTTTAATGCTATTTATTCAGAAAAGCTGTAACTTTATACCATTAGTGTTCACTATAATTATATTCACATTAATTATAATTATTTTTATTCTAACAAATTGTAAAGAATAAAAATCGATCCCCACTTCACCAGCTTCATTAAATCAAAGTTCCTTCAGGAAACAGTAATTATTAAATGCAATATATATTTTTTTAATTTTAATTATATTTAGAATCAGAATCAGAAATATTTATTGGCCATAATATAACAATAACAACAATAATAACAATTTATATTTGTCAGTGGAATAAATTTGCTTTAATATAGATGGTGATGATTATAAATAAGAATATAACTCTAGTCAAGTTTTTTTTACATTAACCTTTGTTATCAACATCGCCTTTAGAACTAGAACCTGTACGTGATTTTTTTCAGACGTCCACAATTTATTCATTATAGAAAATACTCTCTCTACTTAAGCATTAATGTGTACCAGGTAGACATAAAATATGTTCGATTAAAATGCAAAAGAATTTATGTTGAAGGTATGTTCCCCCAAAGAGTTCCAGGGGAAACTTTTAAATTATTCCATTCGGTTATTTTTTGGTCGGTCTCGCTCTCGCACTGTTCGTGTCTGACAAACTTCATAATTTTAAATTTTCGCGAGGTTTCGGAAAACGGGACTATTTTGCGTCCCGGAGCTTTTTTTGGGGCAGAGGTACAGGTGACCGAGAAAAGGAACAATCCCGTTCAAAACAGGAGTTATGGTCACTTTAAGTATACCTCAAAACTTGAAAACGAGAATGTACAAACCAGTGCATGTGGCCAGTGATGACATGTGTCTGAGACGTGGTTTCTCACTGTTGGCCGTATGAGAAAGCGCAAGGTCGTCCAGCGAGCTATGGAGAGGGCTATGCTCGGAATTTCTCTGTGCGATAAAGACTTCGTAATGAGGATACCGCAATAGAACCAGAGTAACCGAAATGGCCCCATAGATCAGTAACCCAAAGTGGCTATAACGCGGTTAATATAGCTCGAAGAAACCGCCATCCGTTGTGGAAAAAAGTTTTTCTAGTGGCAGTGTCGCGTCGCACCGGTAAGCGACGTGTAAGGCGGAGGCGGGCGCGAGGCTACTAGAGGCTCAGGATCGTGGTTTGTGGTATTTCTTGGTGAAGGCCTATGTTCAACAGTGGACTTGAGATGATGATAATGAAGCTTTGTAATGTAAGTCACGAAAATAGGAAACTCTTTTTACTGGTTAAGGCAGAGTATTCCAGGGTTTCCATTCTTAGGGTGAAAACGCACTTGCATTTTGATTCTTAAAAAAGAAGAAATGTCTTCGGGCCACAGTATCCAGTTTACTGAGGTGGATTGTGTACTCGATTTTACCCTTAGTTAATATAGAACGTTACGGTGTAAGACCGCTTAAATCTAAATTAAAAATGAGTCTACATTTTAGAGCAGCTTTTTCAGTCACCTAAAAATTGTTAACAGGATACACTGCAGTGCCTTTTATGTTTTATGTGTTCCCACACTAACTATTATAGTTAACGTGGGAACACATAAAACATAAAAGCATTAGGTATCTCGTTTATCTTCGCATCGCTAAAATTTATTGATATTTTTTCTACCGACTTCAAAAAGGAGACGATACTCTTCTGTATGTTTTTTTTTTCTCGTGTTTCCTCATAACTCTTTCCTGGGTGAACCGATTTCGAGGATTCTTTTTTATTTTTAAAGCTGGTGTTTCTCATGTGGCCCCATATAAATTTGATTAAGGTCTGACCAATACTTTTTAAGATAATTAATAGAATCAGGCGTTACTTTGCGGAAATCCATTATAATAGGGTTGTTATAAACTAATTTGCTTAATTCCGCGTAAAGAAAGAAAATGATGTGTCCTGCCCAGTTTCAAGGGGACCTCCCACCCTCGCTCAGACCTCCCACCCACCCTCAATCGCGCGCACTATACCCGTCGCCGACAATGGCGATAGTAGTGCTGGGAAGGTGGGAGAAACTGGGCAGGATACATTATTTTCTTTCTTTACGCGGAATTAAGCAAATTAATTTATAACAACCCTATTAATACTTTTTAGTTATTCTTAATAATTTATATTTAAGTCGGTTGTAAAAAAAAATTATATTATTGTTAAAATGAATTTTTTGTACTTCCGCAATATCAAGAAACATTTTGTAAATTAATCCTTCTTTTATAACACATTGTTTTCAATTTGATAATGACTGTTTTTTGTGTATTATACACAGGCCATTAAAAAAATTACAAGTACGTGTATTACATAATAAACAGTGATATCAAAAGATAAGAATCAACAATATTTATGATACCCACGAAATGATATATTTTAGTAGTGTATTATCTTATGTCGTTACACAGCGCAGGTTTTTTTTTTACAGGACAACGGTAAGAAACGAGCACACAGTCCACCTGATGGTAAGTGGTTAACTGTGGCCTATAGACATCTAACCTCAATTACCACCAATTTAAACACCGCTGCGTTGTCACCCGTGAGGTCCAAGAGGGAATGCCTCGCTTCCAGTAAAAAGGGTCTCCGGTTCGCTGCACTCACCATACAAAACACAGCAGTGTTGAATTAACTAATTTTACGCAGATATACTGTGAGAGTCTACGCCGGTCGTGTCAACCCATTCGTGCTACAACTATCCTACTTATACAGCTGTAGCTTGGCTCTACCAAGTAAAAAACGACAGAGGAAAATGAAAGGAAAGATGAACAGCCGAATATTCTCATATAAGAACTAAAAAATATAAAAAATTGTAGTTGTAAACCCACCGGCTAAGCGTGTAAACTATGGCAGCAAATATTCCTCCACGGGGTAATTTATAAGGGGAGGCCTATAGTCAACAGCGGACTTTTGATAGACTGTAATTTCCTCCAGACCGAATTTCGGTCACGGCGACTAGCCATCGGCGCAGGACAGGATTACAGTGCCCATGTGTATACGCAAGCACAGGTGCACTCTTTATTCCCTCACTCTCATAGTCCGATGGGACAGTAAACCGACACGACCGGAGAGAGATCAGGCGCAGGAGCAACGGCTTTACGTGGTTTCCGAGGCACGGGGGTGAGACACCGCCAGCTTCCTGACTTCTGGCAGCTACTGAAAATTTCTTGATGGTGTGGCGGCGCTATCGTCGCGCCACAACCGAAACACATCGAAGCCTAAATCGCGCTAACAAAGTTCCGAAGTTTATGCAGTATATATAGAATAGCTCCGAACTACCACTCGGAGCGTCCGCCGCTCCCCGGGCAGAACACCTTGCCCGGCGGGAGATCTCCCCTTTTCCTTCCACCCGCCACAATGGAAAAGCTTCATAACTGTGGTAGAGCAACGCGGCAGCTTTTGCTGTCACACGGATGGGCCGGCTCGAATCGGGGTGGTACCACGACCTCACAGAAAACCAGCGTGAAGTAGAGGTTTACCTTTGCGTTTCGCTTGGTGAGTGCAAGTGGCCGGAGGCCTTTTTTACTGGAAATGAGGCATTCCATCTTAGTCCTCACGGGTGACAACGCATCTACATTTTGATTTGTAATAGAGGATAGATGTAGTTGTCTATGGGCCGCAGCAACCACTTACCATCAGGTGGATTGTTTGCTCGTTTGTCACCCTTATCCTAAATAAAAAAAAAGAAATTCATTATCTGCAGTTCTCAAAGGCTATAATGAATGAATGAACAATAGGTAATAAATACAGTTTTAAAACCTTACCATACTTTGGCATCATGCTCTTGTTACTCCTGCTTCTAGTGCCCTCAACGAAGAACTCGATCGGTGCGCAATGCTTCGCCACGAGCGTTCGTACGTACTGCTTGAGTGTCGCTGCGTAAAGGGGGTCGCCTACGATAGACCGTCGGATGAAAAAGGCTCCCGTTTCTCGCATTCGCTGTCCGACTATCGCCATGGAGGAGAAATCTAAAACAAACTAACACGTTTTGAACATCTACAAATGTCTCGTTTTAAGCAATGATTGCTGTGATTCTTAACATTACTTGTTTCGATTTCAATTTGTTATTGTTTTGTGTGTGTATGTACAGAGTTATTTTTTAAAGAGTAGCCAAATTTTAAACTTAAGTTCAAATATATAAATAATGATGTACCGTTATTGCGGTTACTGAAAATACGAGTAAATAAGGCTTCTACTTTTATTTGAAATTATCCCAAATTGAATTTGATTTATGGGCAAAAACGTTTTTGCCTACCGATCGACTCTTACGACTGTGTGCGTGCGCAGAAAAATCAATTAAAATAATGCATTATCACGCATCTTGTATTTAAAAGATAACAAATGGTAAAATCAAAAAAATTGTACAACCGACTACAATATAAATATAATTTATTGTTAATTCTTAAAAATCGCTCGACCGATTTCGACAAAAATTTAAATGGAACCTGGAAAGTATAAAACTTTAAAACAAAAAAAATAATTTTTCAAATCGGTTCAAGCGCCTTCGAGTAATCGGTGTACATACATAAAAAAAAAAAGATTCCGACAAATTGTAAACCCCCTCCTTTTTTAAGTCTGTTGAAAAGGACAGAATGTTTGAGATTTTTTAATTAATTTTTCTACACCTCTGTAAATTTGGTCGGTTATTGAAAATAACCCTGTATAATAATCATAATAATGTCCTCCAGACCGACTTTCGGCCACGGCGGCAAGTTTCAACGGAGACTAGCCATCGGCGTAGGACAGGATTATAGTGCCCAAGTGTATGCGCAAGCACAGGTGCGCTGTCTATTCCCTCACTCTCAAAGTCCGATGGGACGGTAAACCGACACGACCGGAGAGAGATCAGGCGCAGGACCAACGGCTTTACGTGCTTTCCGAGGCACGGGGGTGAAACACCGCCAACTTCCTGACTCCGGGCAGCTACTGAGAATTTCTTGATGGAAAAACTCAATAGATGATTTTTTGGCCCGACCCGGGATTCGAACCCGGGACCTCATGATCAGCAGTCGCACTGCTACAACCACTAGACCAACGAGGCAGTCTAATAATATACAGTCTGTATAATATACAGTATGTAAAGTAAAATACACCCTGCCTGATTTGAAAGGGGCACATAAAGAGCCGTGGTAGCTCAGATGATTAGCGCTCGCTGTAAATTTAACAGTACGCGGGCAGCCCGGGTTCGATCCCCGTCGGCACCTATTAAACTGTTAATTGCAATTTTAAGAGCTGATTTACCACGTGCTGCTCTGCGGTGAAGGAAAACATTGTGAGGAAACCTGCATGTTTGAGAAATAAGAAAAAAAAATTCAGACGTAAAGTTCGCTAATACGCATTGGGGCAGCGCGGCGATCATTTCCTTGCCGTAAAACCCTTCAAAAATGAGAGGAGGCCTGTGCCCAGCAGTGGGACTTATATAGGCTGTAACTTTAATATAGTAACATATTTAACTTTAATATATAACATTAGAATACACGTTATTTACTACAATTTGCTTAAAATTCAGCAAATTTTTAAAATCTGGCAATGCTACCGTCGGCGAAGGTATCTGAAGTGACTGCAATTATGCAGTCACTTCAGATACCTTCACTTTTTACGCTTAACGAATGATAAGCTGCAAGTGAAACCCAGTGTCAACAGAGGTCTAAGTCGTGACCTCTAGATATTGTTAACTGTCGGCCGCCCGCGTAATAAAACCCATTTAATTTTTTTGCGGGGTATTTTTATTTATTCTTTAATTACCTCAAAGCACGCTCTGGGTTCGGACAGGATTTTATACATATTTTAGTACATATATTATAGAGGTAAGAATCATATACCGAGTAGACCAGTCCACTTAATAATAAGTCGATGCTGCAGCCCATATACATATGTCTACTCGTTATGTCAAACGGGGATATACTTCTCCCCGTTGCCGTGCTTTGGCATAGGGACAAGATAATTTTATCTCTTGTCAGTGGATACAATCGGGGGATAAAATTCTTATCCCCAGTCCATGCTAGCCGTGCTGTAGCCAACTTTAAACAAAGAAGGCTACATATGCATTGTAACACAGTCTCACAGTCTGTAGTTATTCTGGTTCTCTGTACCCTTCAGACTTGCTTAGAAATAGGTAATAGGATGGCACCTACTCAAACGAATTCCTAGGCAGGAAATGTGTCATACCACATATAAAAAAAGTAATTGAAATTGTTAATTGAAATCGGATATGAAAATTGAAATTAATGTCTACAGTAGAACCAATGTAATCAACAAGAATCCACGGATCAGTAAGATGAAGTGGCAATAGAAAAACTTTTAGCTAGAAGAATAGACAATATACTCTTAAGACCTAAACACACTAAGTGCGTGGACTGCTGCTTGGCTGCAGAAATAGATAACGGGGACATGACTACCTATCTCCTAGACAAAAAGGTGTCCACTCCTCAGCATCATTATCATCATTACAGCGGTTCACAAGTGAACTGCTGAACATAGGCCTCCCCCAAGGAATGCCACAAAGCACGGTCCCGACCCACCTGCATCCATTGACTTACTGCATGACTTATCAGGTCGTCACTCCATCTAGTGGGGGGACGCCCTACACTTCTCCTGCCGGTACGAGGCTGCCACTCGAGAACCTTTCTTCCCTATCGGTCGTCGGTTTTCGAGCTATATGGTCGGCCCATTGCCACTTCAGCTTACTAATCATTTGGGCTATGTCGGTTACTCTGGTTCTACTGCGGATTTCCTCATGTTTAAGTTTACCACACAGAGAAACCCCGAGCATAGCCCTCTCCATAGCTCGCTAAGCGACCTTGAGCTTCTTCATACGGCCAGCAGTGAAGGACCACGTCTTAGATCCATAGGTCATCACTGGCAACACGCACTGGTTGTACAATCTAGTTTTGAGGTATTCCTGACGAGAAGATGTGTCGTAATGTCCCGAACGCTGCCAAGCCGAGTTAAATCCGCCGATTGACCTCTCGGTCGAAGTTGCACTTACCTAGTCGGACTAATTGTCCCAGGTAAACATATTCGTCAACAACTTTGAGCTTAGGTGTGACATGGACCTTAAACATGATTTTTGTTTCGTCCATGTTTATCTTAAAACCTATCCGTTGGGAGACACTATTGAGGTCATTGAGCATAGTGCTAAGGTCCTCCAGCGATTCCGCCATAAGGACTATATCGTCGGCGAATCGAAGGTGAGTGATGTATACTCGCCATTGACGTTAATACCGTATCCTTTCCAGTTCAATAGCTTGAAAACGTCTTCGAATGCAGCGGTGGGAGAGTTTCGGGGATATTACGTCACCCTGTCTTACACCTCTCTGCAGTTGGATAGGTTTCGTACTCTAGTTCTGTACTCGGATAGCCATCGTAGCCCTACTGTACAAACACTTAAGCACCGCTCAACTTTCGACGGAATCAAAGGCTTTCTCATAGTCCACATATGCAAGACAAAGTGGCAGATTGTACTCTTCAGACTTCTGTACAATTTATTGAAGGGTATGTATGTGGTCTATGGTGCTAAAACCTTTTCAGAAACCGGTTTCTTCGAGAGGCTGGAAGTCATCGAATCTGCGTGCGAAACGATTCGTAATGACTCTCGAAACCAGCACGTAGACGCCGCTCAGAAGGAAAATCGGTCTGTAGTTCTTCAAGAGAGCGTTATCGCCATTCTTGAAGAACAAGACCACCACACTTCTGCTCCACGCCTCCGGAGTAGTGCCATCACGGAGGACGGAATTAAAAACCTTCTGATTGACTTCAAGTACCGGTTTTCCACCCGCTTATAGAAGCTCCGCTGTAATTCCATCCTCGTCTCGGGGGACTTGCTGCTGGAGAGTCATTCTAATCTTGCTCAGACTGACGTTTTCTTTGGGTTTTTTTTATAGGGTAGAGTGATAAACGAGCACACAGTCCACCTGATGGTAAGTAGTTGTCTGTGACCCATAGACATCCACATCTATCCTCAATAAAGTATCAAAATGCAGATGCGTTGTCACCCGTGAGAACTAATATGGAATGCCTCTTTTCCAGTAAAAAGGGTCTCCGGTTTTCTACACTCACCATACGAAACACAGCAGTGTGAAGCTGCTATTTTACGCTGGTATTCTGTGACAGCGTGGTCCTTCCCCGGTCGAGCCGATCCATTCGTGCTACAACTATACTACTAATATAGCTGCAGCATGGCTCCACCACGTTTAAACATATAGTCCTGGGATATTATCGGAATACTGTCGGATAAGACTTGTTTTTGGATCGTTACTCACACTTGCGTGTGGCTCCAACGATGACGTGTACAGCTGCCCATAGAATCTCTCAATCTCACTCAAAATCTCAGGTGTCCCGGGAACGATCATGCCACATTCGATCTTCAGCTTTGACAGTTGGCTCTTTCTGGTAGACAGATCTCTGGCAAAGACTTTGGAGCCCTGGTTCCGCTCGATGCCAGTTTTCACCCTAGCGATCACTGAGACATCACTGAGCAGTTGTCGTCTCGTCTTAATGAAGTCAATCTCATTTATGTCAAACCGTCGAAAGGTCCACTTCCTGTGGTGTCGGTTTTCGAAGAAAGAGTTCATCACTCACCTAGTAAAAATTAACTAAGAGGGTGTAGGACTTCTATGCTACACCGAATTCACAAAAACTTTGTGTTCTTTATGAAAATAAGCGTCGAGTGAAGTCGTTTTGTAGACGATACTACAGAATAAATAATAGTACTACACGATACAGACTTCACAATTTAAATAACTTAAATTAAACATTTTAAAAACCCCCGAAACAAAAAGAGCTGTAAACGAAAAAAACCTAATTAAAATCGGTTCATCCGTTCTGGAGCTATGATGCGACAGAAGAAACAAAGATACACAGATACACACTACAAACATAATATAACACCCCTCTGTATTCGTCGGGGATTAAAAATATGCGAGAGTGGTATGTCAAGATCGGTCTCTTGCCGATCGATCCTCTCTGCCTACCTCACAAAGGAAAACGTAAAGCTATATTAGTAATGTATAAGTCGTTTTCTTCGTAACAAAATTCTTAACTTAATAATAATTAACTTTATAAATTGTGTAGTGTTTGCATATATATAGTATACAGTAAATATTGTTATTTGTTTTATTTACTAATAATTTACCATGCACAAATACACAAACATACATTTATATATAAGTAACTGTCTCGAGTGCACCGCGTCAGTTACACGAGAGCCTCGCGCGAGAGTGGACGTGTTTTAGTTAAGTGCGTGCCGAGCCTGTGTTACACTACAGTGATTAGAGAAGATAGCAGATATTACAAGCGGCGACGAGAAAAAAGATAAGTACCTATTTAGTATAAAGATATAATCAAAAATAGGTTAGCAATGTGCAACTATTAGCATTGCAATTGTAAATTAATTTCTAGAGTACCCGCGGAAAAAAAACTGTGGATTATGAATTATGATTTATTGTTTTTAACCCTGTTCTGATCATTTTAATAATTTATATAAATTATATGTTCGCATATGACCACGCTTATGGTGTGCAAAAATTTATTTTCTTTATGTAGCAATGATAAAATTATGATTTATTTTAACATATGTCTATTAGCACAACATTTATTTAAAAAGATTTTTGATGGAAAAATAGTAGATGTTACTAATCACTCCTCTCGATTCAAACCGAAATACCATTTCTTTTTTTATAATGTCGTTAGCTAAATTTTAGTGGCATTTTACATGTAGGTGGGATATTTATCGCCTTTAATGAAAATACTATTTTACTGCTTTCATGGTATATATAAGTCTTACAAAAAATCGTGGACACTTCACGACTTCTGTACATTGCATAGTAGGTAACTAGTAATACTGTAAATGCGCAATATAGGTATTGAATTTACCCAAAGCCTAAGTGGCACACCAATGGAAGTAGTCGGTATAACAAATAAACCGAAAGAGAAGGGCGAGTGTTATGGAACATATTATTATCATGAAATTGAGTTTGGGTACCAAGATACCAACCATTAAATTGGTGTTGGGTACTAAGATACCATCATTAAATTGGATTTTGGGTACTAAGTTACTACCATTAAATTGGACTTTGGGTACTAAGTTACTACCATTAAATTGGACTTTGGGTACTAAGTTACTACCATTAAATTGGACTTTGGGTACTAAGTTACTACCATTAAATTGGACTTTGGGTATTAAAATACCAGCATTAAATTCGAAATAAAAATATAAGAAACTGTTTCAGTTTGCCCCTAAAATAATAATAATAATGATACCGTTATCAGCTTTAATGTGATAGCACATCTATCGCTATAAGGTGTGAAAAATGGAAAAGGTCTCTACTAATCTATCTGGATGCAGCTGAAGTTATATCGGCACTCAAGAAACGAGCTACGCTATTGCATTTTGGTGGCTCTAGGATACAAGAAATATTCTACGATTTACCGGGTGCCAATGTCGAATCATCAGAAACCGTTGATGTATTTAAAGTAGCCATAAAAAAACTCGACGAGTATTTTCAACCTAAACGGAGCAAAGTTTATAAGCGGCATGTTTTTCGATTGCTAAAACAGGAAAAAGGAGAAAAATTTGAGAAGTTTTTGATAAGATTGCATCAACAGGTCGAAAAGTGTGCATTCGAAAAGCAAGATGATCATATCATAGATCAAATTGCGGAAAAGTGTAATTAGAAATTGCGCAAGAACCTTATATCTTACAAAACGTGGGAAGAGTTAAAAAGCAAAAAAGTATATGCTTTTAATCAAATGTAAAGGACCAGACAAGACATTATTAGCATATGGTAGTAACTCTCCTTTGGCAATAGAGCGTTCATTTGAAACTATACTCTAAGTCGATGGACGAAAGGAACATACAACCATTTACGTGATTTCGGCGGGTACTAGAGACCTGTTGGGTAAGAACAGAGGAGTCTGGGTGTCTTAAAACTTAGTATCGGGATAAATCAAGTGGAGAGTACCGATCCCCATTAAAGAGAAGGTTGCAATCAAAATTAAGGAATCACTAAACAGTGATATAATTGAAGAAGTGCAAGGCCCGTCTAAATGGGTTTCACCGATGTCCAATCATGAAAGAAAATGGTGAATTACGTTTATGCGTAGATATGAGATGTACGAACGCCGCTATATTGCGAGAAAACCACCCCCTGCCTACTATGGACCATTTTTGCCTAAAATGAAGAAAGCTAAATATTTTAACAAATTAGACAAAAAAAATGCCTTCCATCAAGTGGAAATTCACTCTGAATCCAGACACATAACGACTTTTATAACCCCCAAAAGATTATATAGATATAAAAGAATAATGCTTGGAATTACCTGCGCTTCCGAGATTTTTCAGAAGATCATTGAAAGGATGCTGATAAACTGTAAAGGGGTCGTCAATTTTATTGATGATGTCCTGCTATTCGGGAACAGTGAAGAAGAACATGACGCATGACTAAAGAAAGTTCTACAGGTACTTAGTAAAAACAATGCCGTGCTGAATACCAATAAATGCATATATAAAACGCAGGATGTGAATTTTCTGGGACACAGGCTTACACATGAAGGAGTAAACCCTTCAACAAGTACGTTGAGAGCATTATGAAATTTAGGGTCCCAAAGACCATAGAAGAACTCCAAAGTTTTTTAGGACCTTAAACTACATAAACAAATGGATATCTAACTTGGCCGTCATGACAGAACTTCGGAAGCACCTGCTAAGACAGAAGATGAGCAAAAGGGAGAGCTTGGAAAAACAATGGTCTGGGGAACAAGATAAAGCATTCCAAAAACTCTAACATTTAATATACAGATTTTAGGGTATTATGACGTTAGAGATGCAAGACAGATGATAGCAGATGCTAGCCCTGTCGGACTTGGTGCTGTCCTTGTACAAAATGACACAAATGGCCCTAGAATTATTGCCTACGGTAATCGAACTTTAACAGACTGCGAGCGAGCAGATATAATACAGGGAGATAAGGTTTACGTAAAAGCAGTGGAAAAATCGAATAATCTTACAACAAATTTTAAACCGACGCCACACGTCGTAGAGGGTGCACGAGACGGTGACTGCACAGTACGCAATAGTGAAACGAACCAAAGGTTTAGGAGAAATGTGATACATTTGAAAAAAGTAGGAGGCGATTGGACGGCTATTCCACCCGATCAGAATGAAAAAGAACAAAATCTAGAACAGGATAAAGAAGACGAAAATATGTAATAATTAATACAGACAATACAAGCTGCTTTGTGATTGTTATGAGTTATAATGAAAAAAAGAAAAAAATCTCGATAAGAAAGAGATGTAGTGTTTGCATGTATATAGTATACAGTAAATATTGTTATTTGTTTTAATTACTAATAATTTACCATGCACAAATACACAAACATGCATTTATATATAAATCACTGTCTCGAGCGCACCGCGTCAGTTACACGAGAGCCTCGGGCGAGAGTGGACGTGTTTTAGTTAAGTGCGTGCCGAGCCTGTGCTACACTACACAGAGAATATATTTAACTATGCCAAATTACAGTTTTGTAGCACCTAGGGTCTCTGAGTAAAACCGCGGACGGACATGGCAAAACTACGAGTATAAGGGTTCCTTGTTGTTTTAAATTAGGTATAACATTAACCATTAAACTATTATCATGCACATACATACCGATGCCGGCGGCAACAGCTGGTAGTTCAATGTCATAGTAGTAGCACATGAAGGTCAACACGCAGAAGTCTGCGTAGCTGCGATGTGTCGGTAGAAACAACACCGGATTCTTTCCCATTTGCTCTTTGAACTGTTCATTAGACAAAAACATATTACCGTTTTATACGTGGTAGAGCCATGCTGCTGCTATATTTCAGGCATAGTTGTAACACGAATGGGTCGGCTCGACCAGGGAAGGACCACGCTCTCACAGAATACCAGCGTAAAATAGCAACTTAATGCTGCTGTGTTTCGTATGGTGAGTGTAGAGAACCGGAGACCCTTTTTACTGGAAACGAGGCATCCCATCTTAGTCCTTACGGGTGACAACGCATCTACATTTTGATTCTTAATCGAGGATAAATGTAGATGTCTATGGGCCACAGTAACCACTTACGATGGTAAGAACACAGTATGAACTTACAGTATCTTGAAGTCTTACAGTTGTATGCTTGGGTTGGGATTTTATTTTATTAATTATGGGATCCCAATCCCATAGATCGGAACAAAAATTAATAATTTTTAATTTGGAGGTAGTCGTGGTTAACTATGACATTGGAACGTCATACACCTCAGTCCCCCCTGTGACCATGGGTGCTGTAAAGTGCTCGAAACGTCGGGAATATAAAATAAGTTAATATACGCGATAAAATCCGTAAAATTAGTTTTATTTCAAAAAAACCGTAAACTGTAAAAAGTTCAGTGAATTCAGAGTGAACAGTGAATAATGCTTGCCGATACCAACTATAATACATATGTAAATATAAAAAAAATATTCACCTTTAAAATTGCTGGTTCATTGACAAAGATCCCTATTTTCATCATAAAAGCAATCTTCAGCGACACAATTCCCAGCCATCTAGTTAAATGCATCTTCTTGTCTAAGCCCATTTCTTCAAGGTGCGCCTTTACCTTCTTTACCAACTCCTCTTTACGTACCCCGCTCCTGATACTCTCCTAAAAGTAGAAAAACAGTAAACAATGTAAACTCTCTACAACGAAACTAAAAGGACCAAGTATTTTCTTTTATTATGAAGAGTTTTTGAAAAAACCGGTTATAGAGCACAATTGAACACACTTTTTTTCATTATTTTATCTATTACAAATTTACTAGGTGTACATCAATTTCTAAAATGTCTATGTATTATTCCAAAATCTATATTATTTTGGTTTGATGTTAATTGTTAAGCAGAATACTTGGTTCTTGGTTCTGTCTCGTTGGTCTAGTGGTTGTAAATGCAACTGCTGATCATGAGGTTCTGTGGTCGAATCCCAGGTCGTGGCAAAAAAATCAGTTATTGAGTTTTTCTGCCAAGAAATTATCAGGAACTACCTGGAGTAAGGAAGTTGGCAGTGTCTCACTCCTGTGTCTCTGAAAGCACGAAAAGCAGTTGGTCCTGCACCTAATCTGTATCTGGTCGTGTCGGTTTACCGTCTCATCGGTATATGAGAGTGATTGTGCTTACTTTACACTTGAACAGTATAATCCTCTTCTGCGCCGATGGCTGATTTCGATCAAGGCTGCTAGCCTTAACTCCGTTAAGGTTAGCCGCTAGCCGCCGTGATCGAAATTCGGTCTGGAGGACATTACTTGGTTCATATTTCTATAAACTTTATCCATATCTTTAGATGCAGTGGAATTGTTTTCAAAAAACTCTTAAATTTTTTTCTTAAAAAATGTAAATCAAAAATGTATAATAATGTCATAACCAAACAAAATAGACAGATGTCTAAACAGACTAATAATATAAAACAACTAATCTCAAACATTATATTCATGTTACTTGTAATTTGCTCTGGCTTCACCTGGCTTGGGTGTATTAATATGGCGTTAATTAGGTTTAAGATAATCATCAATGATCATTTTTTTTAAATATTTTGATTCCACAAAAAAAATTCAGTTTTTACATAGGCTGCACTAAAAGTATCGGGAATGGAATATTTCCACTGTTCCTGTCATATTAAAATCTTTTTAATTGAAAACTTGCCGTGTAGTGGCGGTTAAGAATATCCACTACCCCATATCTTCCCGTGGGTGTCGTAAAAGGCGACAAAGGGAAACAGGCAGGAGATGGGCAGCAGCATCTTCCTGGTAACGACAAAATACAATAAAAAACTGCGGTTGCCAACCCGCTCGCCAAGCGTGGCAACTATGGCAATATACCCCCCATAATGAAAGTTACGAAGAGACGGCCCCCAGTCCCCGGCGGCCCCGCTATTCCTGGCTACGGTGGCGACCATGGTAACGGCGGGGCAGGGGGTGCTAAGAATCTCCGGTGGAGGTTCGGTTGCCACCTACAACGACTCGACCTGGCAACATACAACGCACGCACCCTGAGGACTGACGAGAAGATTGTGGAGCTGGAAGAAGAGATGGACAAGTTACGCTGGCATATTATAGGATTATCCGAAGTCCGAAGAGAGGGGGAGGACACGGTAATCCTCGAATCCGGCAACTTGCTCTATCACCGGGAGGGCGACCATCTGTCCCAAGGAGGTGTTGGATTTATCGTCCACAAGTCTCTCGTTAACAACGTTGTAAAGATTGAGAGTGTGTCGACGAGGGTTGCGTACCTTATACTCAGAATCACCAAACGGTATTCGCTGAAGGTCATACAGGTTTACGCACCAACCTCGGCACACCCCGATCAGGAGGTGGAGGAAATGTATGAGGATATCTCTAGAGCCATGCATTCCTCCAAAACCCAATATACGGTGTTAATGGGAGACTTCAATGCAAAACTAGGCACAAGAGAGAACGGTGAGCTGAAAGTGGGGAAATTTGGAATAGGGCAACGGAACCCAAGGGGCCAGCAGTTGGCCGACTTCATGGAGAAAGAGGGACTCTTTATGATGAACTCTTTCTTCCAGAAGCGGCCCCACAGGAAGTGGACCTGGTCGAGCCCCGACGGTTCGACAAAAAATGAGATTGACTTCATTATGACGACCAGACGACAACTGTTCAGTGATGTCTCAGTGATCGCGAGGGTGAAAACCGGCAGCGATCACCGAATGGTTAGAGGCACACTGAACCTAAACGTTAAGTTGGAGAGGTCTCGTCTAATGAAGTCAACGCTCCGTCCCCCTCGTGCTCTAATCCAAAGTCCCGAAACCTTTCAGCTCGAGTTGCAAAACCGTTTTCAGTGCCTAGAAGACTGCAATGAAGTGGACGATTTGAATGACAAGCTCGTGGAAACTGTCCATGCGGTCGGAGCTAAGTTCTGCAAGACCCGCCGCAGAAGAACACAAAAACTCTCCGATCACACTCTTAATCTCATGGCTGTTAGACGGGAGATGAAGCTACATTCTTCAACAGATTTGACAGCATACAGGCAACTGAACAGACAGATCTCCAAATGCATGCGGCGGGACTTACGCAACTTCAATACAGCTCGTGTTGAAGAAGCGATCGAGCGGAACCAAGGCTCCAAAGTCTTTGCCAGAGATCTGTCTGCCAGAAAGAGCCAACTGTCAAAGCTGAAGACCGAATGTGGCAGCATCGTTTCCGGGGCACCTGAGATTTTGAGTGAGATTGAGAGGTTCTATGGGCAGCTGTACACGTCATCGTTGGAGCCACACGCAAGTGTGAGTAACGATCCAAGAGCGAGTCTTATCCGACATTATTCCGATGATATCCCGGACGTCAGTCTGAGCGAGATTAGAATGGCTCTCCAGCACCTTAAAAACGGCAAGGCCCCAGGCCAGGATGGAATTACAGCGGAGCTTCTGAAAGCGGGTGGAAAACCGGTACTTGAAGTCCTTCAGAAGCTCTTTAATTCCGTCCTCCATGGTGGCATTACACCGGAGGCGTGGAGCAGAAGTGCGGTGGTCTTGTTCTTCAAGAAAGGCGACAACGCTCTCTTGAAGAACTACAGACCGATTTCCCTTCTGAGCCGCGTCTACGTGCTGTTTTCGAGAGTCATTACGAATCGTCTCGCGCGCAGACTTGACGACTTCCAGCCTCCCGAACAAGCCGGTTTCCGAAAAGGCTTTAGCACCATAGACCACATACATACCCTTCGGCAAATTGTACAGAAGTCCGAGGAGTACAATTTGCCACTATGTCTGGCGTATGTGGACTATGAGAAAGCCTTTGATTCCGTCGAAATTTGGGCGGTGCTGCAGTCCCTTCAGCGATGCCAAGTTGACTGTCGGTATATCGAAGTGTTGAAGTGCTTGTACAGTAGGGCTACGATGGCTATCCGAGTACAGAACCAGAGTACGAAACCTATCCAATTGCAGAGAGGTGTAAGACAGGGTGACGTCATATCCCCGAAACTCTTCACCGCTGCATTGGAAGACGTTTTCAAGCTTCTGGACTGGAAAGGATACGGTATCAACATCAATGGCGAGTACATCACTCACCTTCGATTTGCCGACGATATAGTCCTTATGGCAGAATCGCTGGAGGACCTAAGCACTATGCTCAATGACCTCAATAGTGTTTCCCAACGGATAGGTCTTAAGATGAACATGGACAAAACAAAGATCATGTTTAATGTCCATGTCACACCTATGCCGGTAGTTGTTGGGAACACTAAGCTCGAAGTTGTTGACGAGTATGTTTACCTGGGACAAATAGTCCGACTAGGTAAGTCCAACTTCGACCGAGAGGTCAATCGACGGATTCAACTCGGTTGGGCAGCGTTCGGGAAATTACGGCACATCTTCTCGTCAGGTATACCTCAAAACTTGAAAACGAGACTGTACACCCAGTGCGTGTTGCCAGTGATGACATACGGAACTGAGACGTGGTCCTTCACTGCTGGCCGGATGAGGAAGCTCAAGGTCGCTCAGCGAGCTATGGAGAGGGCTATGCTCGGAGTTTCTCTGCGTGATAAACTCAGAAATGAGGATATCCGCAGTAGAACCAGAGTGACCGACATAGCCCAACGGATTAGTAAGCTGAAGTGGCAATGGGCCGGCCATATGGCTCGAAGAACCGACAACCGATGGGGAAGAAAGGTTCTCGAGTGGCAGCCTCGTACCGGCAGGCGAAGTGTAGGGCGTCCCCCCACTAGATGGAGTGACGACCTGGTAAGATTTGCAGGAAGTCGATGGATGCAGGTGGCTCAGGACCGTGCTTTGTGGCATTCTTTGGGGGAGGCCTATGTTCAGCAGTGGACTTGTGAAGGGCTGTAATGATGAATGATGAATTGAAAACTCCTTGGTTTTAAAAATCGAATACCATTTATTTATTTAAAAAAGATTCTCGGTCTTGTCACAAGGTTTTGTTAAACTTGTTTAGTCGTTGAGAAAATGGAATTGACTCGAGAAAATTCAAGAGCGGTGATTTATTATGACTTTCAAAGTGGTTTAACACAAAAACAGTGTGTTGACCGGATGATTTCTGCATTTGGTGATGAAGCCCCATCCAAAACCACAATTTATCGCTGGTTTGCTGATTTATCGCTGGTTTGCTGAATTTCAACGTGGACGTGTCAAGCTCAGTGATGATCCCCGTCAAGGTCGTCCAAAAACTGCAGTCACCCAAGAAAACGTTGATGCTGTGCGTAAGCTGATTGAGGAAGATCGACGTGTGACATACCGCGAAATTCAGGCAACTTTAGGCATGAGTCAAATACAAATAATCTTGCATGAATAATTAGGTGTAAAAAAGTTGTTTTCCCGATGGATACCGCATTCGTTCTGTGAAGAGCAAAAAGCGGCTCGCGTTACTTGGTGCGTCAGAACTCTCGAAAGATTCCACGCAGGATCCTCAAATGCTGTATACAACATCGTATCAGGTGACGAATCCTGGATATACGCGTACGAACCCGAAACAAAAAACCAGTCACGAGTTTGGGTGTTCGAAAATAAGTTAAAGCCAACAAAAATTGTTCGTTCACGGAGTGTTGCAAAAAAAATGGTGGCCACGTTTGTCTCCAAAACCGGCCATGTTACGACTATTCCTCTTGAGGGACAAAGAACGGTTAATGCAGAATGGTATGCTAGCA